GAGAGGAGAGATGAGAAAGAATGAGAGAGAGAGAGAGAGAGAGAGAGAGAGAGAGAGAGAGAGAGAAGAGAGGAGGGGGAGAAAAGAAAGGAAGGGGAAGGGGAGGGAGAGGAGAGGGTGGAGGAGAGAGGAGATGAAAGAGAGAGAGAGACAGAGAGAGAGAGAGAAGAGAGAGAGAGAGAGAGAGAGAGGAGAGAGAGAGAGGGAGGGAGGGAGGGGAGGGAGGGAGAGAAGAGAGGAAGGGGAGAGGGAGGGAGAGAGAAAGAGAAGGAGAGGGAGAAGGAGAGAGAAGACCAGACAGAGTGAGAGTCAGAGTCAGCCTTGCTTTGGACAAATCTGAGACTTTGTTTAGACAGGACCAGGACCTCTCTGAGGGCTGTTGATTCTAGGGCACTCGTGCCAGATCAGATGGAGACCATGTTAGATTTAAGTGGCCTCCAGGCCAGGAACAAGCCCCATGGGTCTCTGGGCCCCATAAGGACAGTGACACCTTCTCCCAGATGCTGGCAGGGCCTTCCCGGCCAGGCGAGGCGAGGTTTTCCATGTTTGGTCCTCGGTGGGGCTCCACAGGCCCAGGTCCAGCCGTATAACCCTTTGACAGATCCCCACAGCTGTGGCCACACATGTGCTAAGCCATCAGAGAAGTGAGTCCTCACAGACAGGAGAGAGAGAGAGAGAAAGAGAGAAAGAGAGAGAGAGAGAGAGAGAGAGAGAGAGAGAGAGAGAGAGAGAGAGAGAGAGAGAGAGAGAGAGAGAGAGAGAGAGAGAGAGAGAGAGAGAGAGAGAGAGAGAGAGAGAAAGAGAAAGAGGGAGGGCCGGAGGGAGGACCAGAGGGAAGGGGGCAGCAAGGCAGTCAGCAGAGAAGGAGGGAGAGCAGCCCGGCTGCAGCTGATTGGAGCAGCAGGTGCTGGGGCTAGACCTTGTCTAGCTGGGATCTGTTTACTGGTGTCTCCTCCTCCAGTGCCCTCCTCCACCCTTCTGCTCCAGGGCCTCACCCAGCCAGGCAGACCGTCCATCCCACGGAGTGGGAGTGTTCAGCTCTGTGGCCTGCTGTGGGCTCAGCGTTGCCCCAGACCCTTTCTGCCCTCCCGGGGTTTATTATCTTGGGTCAGAGAGGAGAGGGTATCAGAAGATCGGTGCAGCCTCCCTCCCCCCACTCCCATTGTAGGAATCCCCTCTGCTGCATGCCCGACAGGTGCCCAGTTTCTTTCTCTGTAATACCCTAGGGAGACTCTCTCACAGGGCTGTTATGGGGGAAGTACGTTGTAAACCTGAAAATGCTAAATAAATGTGAGTTATCACCGTGTACTTGGAGCTAGAAGGGCCCTTAAAGGCAATCTGGTCTAACCCCTCCCCCACCTTCCTATTTTACAGCTGAGTAAACTGAGGCACAAGAGGTCAAGCAATTTGCCAAAGGTCATACCAGTATTACACACATCACAGTTGGGACTGGAACTCAACTCCCCGACTCCAGAGGTTGTATTCTTCCCAATGCTGTCTTCAAGGTTTCCTCTGGCTCCAGATCCTGTGTTCTAATTCTTGCTTGGACCATCCTAGGCCCTCACTAGCTCCCAAGATACACTATTCCATTGCTGGATAGCCTCAATTGCTAGAAAGTTCTTTCTTTCCTTGGGGGGAGACAAGATTAATGTATTTGAATCGGCTACAAAAATATAATAAATAAAATTTATTTATTAAAATAAATTTAATTTTTAAAAAGCTAGCATTTATAGAGCAGTTTAAGGTTCACAAATATTCTCCTAGATGCTATTATTATCCCCATTTTACAGAAGAGGGAACTGAGGCAGGTGGAAGTTGACTTGCCCAGTGTCACGCAGCTAGTAAGTAGTGTCTGGGGTCATTTTTGAACTTGGGTCTTCCGGACTCCAAGTGCAACATTCTACTGCACCCCTTCGCTGCAAGAGAACATATGACCAGAAGCACAGAAGGAAAGGGGGGGGAAGGCCAATATTAGAGGAGCCCAGGCAGATTACATAAGTGTGAATGACCAGAACTAAGTATTCAAGTGTGTAGTCTCACTATATTCATGTGGGGAGGAAGGTGCCCCTGTGTCCCCTTAGGAGAAGAGTTATCTAAGATTTGAGCATCCTGTCACTGACCGACTCAGTTTCCCCATATTGCTGGCTGGCAAACAGGACTCATTCTGATGCTTCTCAAAGTAACCAAGGAGGAGAGACAGAGAGACAGAGACAAAGAGACAGAGAGAGAGAGACAGAGACAGAGAGAGAGAATATGAATGTCATACCAGAAGAGCTGGCCCTGCTTTTCCCTTCCTCATGGAAGAGTAGGCCAGGGATTGGTTGCTCATTAAGCAACCTCTTAACAGTTTGGAGTGTATCCAGAGGACAAACAAGATGGCGGTAGGCCTGGAGACCTCACTGTACAAGGAAGAGTTGAAGGAACTGGAGCTGTTTAGATTGGACAAGAAAAGGAATTGGACTATTTCTCTTTGGCCTCCGAGGGCAGAATTAGGAACGATGGAGACAAATTTAGCAGATTCCACCTGAGGAAAAACTCCAAAGTGGTTATCTGAAAAGAGAGTTGGCTCCCCATCCCTGGCGGTTTTAGAAGCAGGAGCTAGCTGGGTTTTGGTCAGGATTTGTGCTAGATCGGGGTTAGACTGAATGCTTTCCGAGGCCACTTCCACTCAGAGACTGTGTGATTCAGAAACTAGCCTGCACTGGTCCACACACAGTCTTCTGCCAGCTGCCTCTCCCTCAAGGAAGTCTGTGGGTACTCACACAGAGTCAGACCAGCAGGCCGAGGCTGGTAGCCAGGATCCCAGAGAGCACTTCACCTCTCTGACCATCACTCTGGTCCTGTGTAAAATGAGAAGGATGAGTTATAGAGATAGATGGATGTGTGTGTGTGTGTATATGTGTGTGTGTGTGTATATATATATATGTGCATATATGTATATATGTGCATGTGTGTATATGTGTATATGTATATGTGTGCATATGTATGGATGTGTGCATATGTGTATATAATGTATAAAACGAGAGAGATGAGATAGAGATATATGTATGTATATATGTATATATAATATGTAAAATGAGAAAGATGAGATATAGATATATGTATGTATATGTGCATATGTATATATGTGTGTGCATGTGTATATATGTGTTTCTGTGTGTATATGAGTGTATGATGTGTGAAATGAGAAAGATGAGATATAAAGATATAGCTGTATGTATATGTGTATATATGCATATATGTGTATGTATATGGTGTATATGTGTATGTATGTGTGTTTTAATGTGTACATATAGACACATGTATGTGTGTGTATACACACATACACACACACACACACACACACCCCAGGTTGTTGTATCACCAGGCTGTTGTTGTGGGAATGCGGTCTAAACCTTAAAGTCCCATGGAGAAGGTGGGATAGGGAAGTGATCTGTGAGTTCCTTAACATAAGGACCTCCAGGATGAGGAATCTCACTCTAATGATGCAGGTTGAGGCCTTCTCTGAAACTAACTTGGCAGCATGGTGGTGCAGTGGATAGAGCTCCAAGCCAGGAGTCAGGAAGACCTGAGTTCAAATTCAGCCTCAGACACTAGCTGTGTGACCCTGGGCAAGTCACTTCACCCTGTTTGCCTCAGTTTCCTCATCTGTAAAATGAACTGAAGAACGAAATGGCAGTACCTCTGCCAAGAAAACACCCATGTGGTCACAAAGAGTCGGACACAACTGAACAGCAGCTGCGACCTATGGTGTTAAAGAGTTGCTAAGGGCAGAGATGTGAGCTCTTGGCCCACATGAGGGCCACAATACTCTGAACTGCAGCTTGATGTAATCGGGAAATATTTAACCAAATAAATGCAAAATTCAATAAAATAAAGATAATATTCGTATGTGGTTTTCTAAGTCAATATGTGGCCCACAGGGATGTTTTATTTAGTGGCGCCTGTTTCCTCTTGAGTTTGTCTCCACCATCCCAGGGCACTGAAAGGTTTAGTGATTTCCCCAAGGTTACACAGGCCTCAAAGGCAGGGCTCCAACCCAGGTCTTCTGGCCTCTGAGGCCAGTCTCCATCTACTATCCCAGATCCCTCTCAGATAAGATGTGAGTTATTCTTGACGACCTCATATAGTCGTGAGGAAAAATAAACTTTACAGTATGACAAGAAGGTGAGTCATTACTTTTATTTCTAAGAGTTTAAGGAATTATCTGTGTCCCACCAACCATCAGAGCTAGAAGGGACCTTAGATGTCATCCGATCCAGCCACCCCCCATTTTACAGATGGATAGAACAAGCATTAAGCCAAGATCAAACTCAAGCCTCCTTAGTTCCTGGGCCAGGGTTCTCTCCACTACACCCCACCACCGAGGAATAACACTGATCCTGCTTTAGCTCTATCGCCTCTTTAGCTCCCGTGGTCCCCATCCACCCAAGTCACCTCAGCCTTCCCTGGACTCTCTCACCTTGGAATTTGCTTGGCTGTCCAGAGAGTCAGGTTCTAGAAAGGAGAAGCATGTTCCCACAGCAGGGAAGGAGTTAACACCAGAACACCCCACCCCCACCCCAGTGGCTGCTGCCTCCCCAGTCATTAAGAAAAATCTGAGTCTCTAATCCCCAAGCTGTCACCTGGAGCCCAGGCCCAGCAGAAGCCTGGGCATCCACAGAGGCCTGTGAGAGAACACCTGGTGCTTATCTTGGGTGTAGCATGAGCATGCTTAATTAAGCTGATGGGCGGGAAGAGTTCTTTCATTAAGAGCTGGGGGCAGGCTGGTGTGTTTGCTGGTAGCAGTCTTGCCCAGGTGTATACAATGTAGATGTTGCACCAGGATGTAGCCACCTGAGAACCAACACACTGGACAGTCCTGGATGACACCTGCGGCTCGGGCTGGAGACAGGAGGGGGATTCAGGTCTTGTCTCCAGCTCTCACTGACTTGCTTCCCCTCTCTCTCTCTTCTTCCATCCTTCCCCTCTGCTCCCTCTGGTTCTTCCCCACCCTCTAGCAGATAGTACAGAGAAGAAGGCAGCGACGATGCCAGACTCACCGGCTGAGGTGAAGACGCAGTCCAGATCAACCCCACCCAGCATGCCACCTCCAGCCGTCACCCAGGGAGCCACACGGCACCCTTCCTTCACACCAAACACAAGTAAGTAGTCACGCTGCGTTCACCTTCACCCGGGAGGCTAAAGTGGGAAGCACCATGATGAGGAGACATTTATAAAATGGCAGGGAGTTAGAGATGGCTAGAGTCATCAGACAGAGTCTGACTTTCTTATTTTACAAATGGGGAAACTGAGGACCAGAAAGAGGAAGCAATTTACTAAAAGGCATAGAGCTAGTTAGTGATGGAATCTAGACCAAGACGGAGTTCTCTTGGTTCTCAATCTGATACTATCTCCATTGTGTCACTGGGCTAAGTCATTCTTCCTGATGAGAAGTGCCAACCTGTGGGAACTCATCTATAAAATGAGCCTATTAGAACTGCAGAATGTCTAAGGTACTATGAGTGAAGGCCTTCAGTTGTATTAGACAGATGAGTGTGCTAAGGATGTGTTGTTTTTAATCTCATCTTGTTCTGAACCAGGACTCCAGCCATCTCCATCCCATGTGACCATGTGTCCTCTCCCCTCTTCCAGCTCTCTGTTATGTGCTATCTTCCCCCTCTTAGAAGTAGAGGCTCCTTAAGAGTGAAGAGCAGCCAAATGGCTTGTATTTGCATCCCCAGTGCTTAGTGGAGTACCTGGCACAGAGGATGCACTTACTAGATGTTCCATCAATCTAGAATAGAAAAAAAGGTAATTTCAAGGGGAAGGATATTAGAGGATATTACCCCTGGCCCCTCAAGAAAAGCATTGGGCCCACCTATATGCAGCCTTCAGCCTAGGACCCCCAAGGCGGCTGTCAAAAATTATGCCCTACTGAGTGGCAGGTCAGTCTGTGCCCATATCCACTCTTCAGCCTAGGAGCCTCAAAAGGGCTGCCAAAGTCAGGCCCTACTGAGTGGTTGGTCAGTCTTCCTGGATCTTGATACCAGATAACCTCAGGCTGGACCTCGGTTACATCAGAGCACTGTGTTCAGAAGGAGATCTGTCCTCATGTTCATTTTTTTAAAAAAAGGTTTCACTTCTTTATATACCCCAATCATTTCCTGATATATAGCTCCCCATCACTCAAAACTGCCTTATGATGAAGGAAAACAACGAAACAAAATCAGTCAACATAACATCTGTATCTGATGGGGTATGTGGCTTTCCAGACCCTTGGATGCCCACCTCAGCAGAAAGGAGGGAAGGGTGTTTCTTCATCTGTTCTCCTGCTTTAAGATGGGTCATTGCAGTTGACCAAAGTTCAGTGCTCTTTCTCTTTATGTCATTGATCATGTTGTTAAAGGTTCTTTGTTTCACTCTGTGTCAGCTCTTCCCACACTTCTCTGAATTCTTCCTGTTGGTCATTTCCTGTAATGATAACATCCTATCACATTCATCGGCCCTTCCCGTATCACTGAGCATCTACTTTGTTGTTTCCTGTTTGTCTGGGGGGGGTTTTGCACTGCCATTGATATTGGGGTACACAAGGAAAATTCCTTTCTATCTTTGACTTGCTTGGGACACGTCCCCTGTAGTCCTATTCCCACTCCAAATAAGTGAGTCGATCTCCCAGAAGCATCTCCATCTTCCATATCCCTACCTAGGTTCTAGGTGTCAAAATCATTTTTTGAGGATTTCCGGGGGAATAAAAAAATAGGACTATATTTTATCTTTATATCAAAATGGACCTTTTTATCATGGAGAATGGGGTAGAATGAAGATGGTGCTGTTATGGGGAAGAGGACCCTCCTGCCACCTTTGTGGAAATGATGATAGCTATGGAAGATCTTTCTGCAAAGAATGATCACTCATCGTCAAAGGCTTCTCCACCCTCCTCAGCAGAGAACAGCTGCTTTGTGGACTAGCAAAGTGACCTGGAGTTGGGGATTGGAGTTCCCACCTTCCTAGGTAGCATAGGAGTTAGAGTGTTGAATTGGAAGTCAGGAGGACTTGAGTTCTAATCCTTCCTCAGCCTCAGTTTCCTCATCTGTAAAATGGGGATGACAATAATAGCATCTACCTCCCAGAGTTGCTGGGAAGATCAAACAAGATACTAGATGGGCGTCAAATGCTTTTCAAGCCTTGAAGCATAAAACTAATGTTAGCTGTCATTATTAACATCGCTGTTGCATCTGTTTTACAGAGGAGAAAATATAAGGCAAGAGACCTTAGCAATGAGTCCATATCATCCCGTTGATCGCCATAGCAAGGATGGGAATCAAAATTCACACCCTTATCCCTGGTCCATGAATCTTCCTCCATTGCCTGCTTATGAAGCCCCTTCCATCTCTAAGTCTTTGCATTTTTGGTTAACTCTGATCTCACCAAATTTTGGCACCTCTTTGGCCCTCCTGGGACCACTTTGTAGGGCTTACTTAGGAGGAGCAGGAAGCTGGCCCTGAAAGAATAGGACACTAAACTCTCTAGGAAGCATCTTGGGGGATCATCTGCTGTCCACCTCCCTCATTTTACAGATGAGGAAACTGAGGCCCAGAGTGGATAAGTGACTTGTTAAGGTTACACACAGTTGCATGTACTCTGAATACAGTAGAGTCCTGAGGTCCTTCTGTGAGCCTGTGCATTGGCAGGTGTCCGGGCCTCACACTCCAGAAGGGCTATTGATGGATCGACTTTAGCATCCCCTTCCCCCCATGCCTGCACCCCATCCCCCCAGGCTCCTGGCCGTTGGGTTAGAGGCATCAAGATTTAGAGAGATAATTGAAGAAGAGCTTTATTGAATAGGCTTCACCAACAAACATTTTAATCGATACAGGAAGGCAGCCCAAGTAAGCAATTAGACTGCTTCGGGTAGCTCTGGATGAGCCAGCCCAGCTGGTAGAGGAGGCAGCTTGGCAGGAGATCATGGGCCCAAGGTACTCTGGGATGAGCTGAGCCAACTCCCACTTTTCAGACTCCTTTTATAGATCTGAGGTCCCTTTGAGAGTCATGTGCCCCCAAATTGCTAAGCGATCTGCCTGATCCTCCCTTCTCTCCTCTGTTGGCTAGGAAAAGGAGTTTCTGTAAAATTGCTTAGATTTTAAATGTCCCCGAGGAATTTCCAAAGTCTGCTAGAAGGTTAAGAGCTGGAAGGGACCTTAGAACATAGAATGTCAGAGCTAGAAAAGGACTTGGAATACAGAGTGTCAGGGCTAGGAGGAAGCTTGGGCTATAGACTATTCAATCTGGAAGTAGTGTTCAAGAGGCTGGTAGAATGGGGAGGGAATTAGGCCTGGAGTCAGGAAACCAGACCTGGGCCCTACTACTCACTCCCTGTGTGACCATGGGAGACACGCTTTCTGAGCCTTAGTCTCTTGTCTTCTGTAAAAGGAAGCTAATCAATTCCACTTGTAATCTCCTACAAGGCTGTTGTAAGAAAGGCTCTCAGAGTGCCATAGCTAAAGGAATCATCCTTACCCAGTCTACCCTTTCTTTTTAAAGATGGGGAAACTGAGACCCAGAGAGGGAAAGCAAGTTTGCCCAAGGCCACACAGCAACTAAATGGCAGAGCCAGAATGGCAGAACCAGTTCATTTATTCAGCTTCTACTGTGTGTGATGCAATGTTCTAATAAGAGACGCACTTTTTCAGGGAGCCTCCAGTCTGATAAGGCAGAACAAGATGGACACTAATGACTATTTCATAGACTAGAAACCACATTTCCTGACTCTGGGTCCAACAGTCCTTGCTACTACAATTGCATTGGATGCTTAGGAAGATGAAGGCACAAGGCAGCCCTCACCACTCTGCCTTAGCCATAGCCTAGGAGTCCAGCTCTGGCCCCTGGGGGCTCTTGAAAGCTCTCCCAATTTCTTCTGCAATACAGCAGTAACCTTTTGGTAGCAGTGGAAAAGGCATCCAGAATTAAGATCCTCACAGTTCAAGCTCAAACATAACTTCTCTTTGCTTATTATATTTCAAGGAGAAGTGTCAGGGCATGGGGCGGGGGAGGCAGACTATGTGTGGAATAACACTTTGAAGGTTAACTAAGCCTATGCCATACATACATTTATTCATTGAGAATCCATTAGAATGGGAAAGAAAGAGGAATAAACATTTATTTAGCACCTACTAAATGCCAGGCACTGTGCTAAGCACTTTACAAATATTATCTCATTTGATCCTCACAACAACCCCAGGAAGTAGGTGCTGTTATTAACATTTTATAGATAAGGAAACTGAGGCAAACAGAGATTAAATGACTTGCCCAGGGTCACACAACTAGTAAATGTCTGGAGCCAGATTTGAACTCAGGCCTTCCTGATTCCAATCCTAGAGCTCTATCCGTAGACGTAAGTGCTTCTATGTTAGTTGAGTACCTACTGGGTGCAGTTATCCAAGTTCTTTTAAGGTCTTTAAATGGAGGCTGAATGAACACTTGAAAAGTATGCTTTGAGGAGGGTTTGGGTTGACTGTCCTTGGACCCTTCCTCCTCTGAGCATCAATCATAGGATCAGAGGATTCAGATCTAGAAGGAGCCTTAGAGATCATTGAGTCCGAGGGTACTTATACTGAGGGGGTCTGTGAACTTTTTAATTTGATAGCTTTATTCCAATTTAATCAATTTCCTTTGTAGCCCTATGTGTTTTATCTTATGCATTTAAAACTGTGATTCTGAGAAGGAGGCCTCAAAGGGGCCCACAACACCAAAAGGATTAAGAACCCCCAATGTAGTCCAGCCCCCCCATTTCACACATGAAGAAACTGAGGCCCAGAGAACTGAAAAAAATTGCCCCAGTGAGTGTCCGTTCCAGAATTCGAACCCAGGTGTTCTGCCTCCAAAGCCAATGGTGGTTCTTTCCTCCATCAGACTGTGAGTCTCAGATTCTAAGGAATATTGAGGGGGTGTCTTTTTTTTTTCTTTCTCCTCTCTCCTCCCCCTCCCTGGCCACTGGTCTAAGGCAGTACAAATGTTAGTTTGGACTCCAGATGTTTCCTAATTAGGAATTGAGTTCTGATAAGCTGTGATCTGATGGGTTTTACATTTAATCCAAGCTTTGGAACAGATGTGATGGCTCTGTGTGTGTGTATATGTCCCTGGGTCCATGCCCCTCTCTCCCTCCCCCCATTACTTCCTCCCTGAACATTTCCTATCCTGAATTTCACACACTCAGCCCCCTGTTTTCTCTGCAGCCAATTTACTGGAACCAGGGCCACTGTGTTTAAAACACACAGGTGGTCCTTTCGTAAATGGTTATTTTTCCTCTCTTTTCCGGTGAACATTGAAAATCTGCTACCTCTACTCCAGCCACAGACTGCCTCAGAGCTGGCCAGAGATTTGTTCTCTAAGTCATTTAATACCCTAAAAGCCTAGTGGTTAACCACTTCAGGCGCCTGGGTGCCCAGAAGGCTGAAAACAGCTCAGGGATGGATTATTGGGGGGAACAGTTTCAGAGAATGGCAGGTGGTCCCCAAGTTGACCCCCCACCCCAAGACTAGAATTCAATGATTTCATTCAATAAACTTGGATTAAGCTTGTAGTGTGCTCAAGGCAGTGCTAATGCAAAGATTTTTAAATTGTATGACCCTACCTTCAAAGAGCTTACATTCTAAAAGAGAGAGAGACACAGAGACACACACAGAGAAAGAGAGAGAGAGAGAGGGGATGCCCAGCGTACACAGGTAAATATGATACAGGGTACGGAGTGATGGGATCAAGGGAGAAATCTAAAGTGCTCTAGGAAAATTTGAAGCAGTAGGCAATACTTTCAACTGGAGGGTCTAGAGAAGGCTTCGCCAGGAGGGTGCACGTGAGGCAAGCCTTGAGGGGAAGAATTCTGCAGGTCAGGGTTGAGGAGGGAGTGGGGACTGGGGACAGGGTTGGGGTTGGAGAATAGCTCTTTGGCTAATTGTACTGGACTATATAATATGTGAATGGTAGTAACATGAAAGAACGCTAGAAAGGTAGGTGGGAGAGTTTCAAATGCCAAACCAGATAATCCTGGAGGCAGTAGGAAACTACTGAAGCAGGAGCATAACCCAGTGAGGGGCAGCTACGTGGTTCAATGGACAGAGCACTAGCCTTGAGCCAGGAAGGTCTGAGTTTAAATCCGACCTCAGACACTTACTAGCTGTGTGACCCTTGGCCAGTCACTTCCCTTCTATTTGCCTCAGTTCTTCATCTGCAAAATGAGGACACGCTAGAAAAGGAAATGGGAAAGTGCTTCAGTATCTTTGCCAAGAAAATTCCAAATGGGCTCATGAAGAATCAGACGCAACTGAAATGACTGAGCAACAGTAACAATGATCCAGTGCCTTAGGGGGCTGTTACCGTGGTTCACGTGTAGTAGCTGTGTGAGTAGACAAAAGGGGACAGATGTAAGAAATAGGGTGGAAGCAGAATTGACAGGTCTTGGCAACCTATCAGCTATAGAAGATGATAGAAGGAAGCTGGAAAAAAAGGAGGTTGGAGGAACGAAGAAGTTTCATTTGGGCAATACTGAGTTTGAAATAGGAGTGATACACCCAGGCGAAGATGTCCAGCAAGAGGTTAAAAATGCTCAAATGAAGTTCAAAGGCAAGACTCAGGCTGAATCTATAGGCAGGTGCTGTTATTAGCCCCATTTGACAGATAAGGAAACTAAGGCAAACAGAGGTTAAGTGACTTGCCCAGGGTCATGCAACTTGTAAATGTCTGAGGCCAGATTTGAACTCAGGTCTTCCTGATTCCAGTCTTAGAGCTCTATCCATAGCACCACTTAGGTGCCTCTATGTTAGTTGAGTGCCTGCTGGGTACAGTTCTTCAAGTTCTTTCAAGTTCTGAGTGGAGGCTGAATGAATTATTATGCCAATGATGATTAGTTCCATGGAAGTAGATCAGATCTCTAAGTGAGAAAGTATCAGGGGAGAAAAGAGAAGAGAAGAGTGGGAGACAGAGCATTGGGGGGACGCCCATATTTCCAAGATGGGAATGGAATAAAGAAAGGGAACTGAGAAAGAGCAGTCAGAATAAAGGGAAAGAACCCAGGGGAGAAAGAAGTCATGGCAGCCCAGGGCTGAAAGAGTATCCAGGAGGAAGGGGTGATCAATGAAAAGGTCAAGGCTGAGGATTGTCAGATTTAGCAATCAGAAAGTCATTGGTGACCTTTGAGAGAGCTGTCTCAGAGTCGAGGGTTGTGAAGCTACACTACAAGAGGGATAGAGGAAGGAGTGTGGTGAAGCCATGAAGGCAGCACGGTCCACACTGCCTGTCCCTTTGAGTTACAGCGTGGCAGGTAGCTTTGGGGCCGGGGTGGGGGGGGTGGTGACAGAGGAGAGGGGGAAAGGGGAAAAGACAGGGTCAAGAGGAAACTAGGGCCCTGAGTCAAGAGGGCTGGATGTAGGAGAGCAAAGGATGGCTCAGAAGGAAAGAAAGGTGACCTCCAATAGAACTTCTCTTCCTGCCATCTCTCAGTCTTCTGATGAGTCACTCAAGCAAGAGCCAGTGTAGTGGATTGAGACCTCACCTGGGAATCAGGAAGGCCAAGGTTCAGAGCTCTAGCAAATACTAGCGATGTAGCCTCAGGAAAGTCATCTACCTTCGAGGAAACTCTCCAACGCTATAGTTCGGGGGTTTTCAATTATCATTTTACTTTAAATTTACTGTTCAGTGACAAACATTTATCTTCTTTCCCTCCCCTCCAATTGAAAAGAAAAAAGAAACTCTTGTGACAAACGTGTAGTCAAAACAAATTGCCACGTTGTCCATGTCCCAAAATGTGTTTCCAAGACAATGAGTTGCAGAGAAGGCACCCCTCCCACCCTGAGAGAATTTCCCTACCCAAAGCCCCCTGTGCCAGTGAAATCCTTCCTTTTGTTCCTCTTCTGCTCATAATAAATGTCTTCTAAAGTTCTCTCTCTCGAATCCATCCAAACTTCAGCATAACCCTCCTCCCATGCTTTTGGCAGTTTGCAACCTCTACTTTCCCAGCCCTGAATGGGACTCATAGATCCCAGTTCCTAGGGCACAGTTTTAAAAAAAATTAACCTAGTTTTAAGAGAAATGCCTGTGGAGCAGGTAATACAGGGGTGCCTATCACCAGGGGAAAACTAATTTTTTTAGCTTTTGCAGAGCATTTCAGAGACCCACCTTCCTCTTCCCCCATTCCACTCAGGGCCTTGTACCTCTTATAAAGGCTCAGACCCACGAGGCAACAGCAGCCAGGCACAGCCCCCATCCTCACTGACAAAGACACCTGTGATTCTCTGCCAAATTCCCAAAATGCTGTACAGGCAAGGGGCGGGGGAGGGGAAGTCAGGGAAGTGTCCCCATCAGGCAAAGTAAGCCCCCACCCCGGACCTGCCTCTCCCAACCTTTCCTGACAGCATGTGTTTTTTTTTTTGCTTTTGCTTACAGATCGAGAAGATGGGCCTCCCACGTTTCTGCCCCCTGGCCGATTCCACGGCTGCTTGAAGTGGTCTATGGTCTGTCTTTGTAAGTAAAATAATAAAAACTAATCACGGAGAAGGGGCTGAGGGAGACCCAAGTGGGACATACCTCTGCAACATCCCCACCAAACAAGATCAAGAAGAAGAATCCCTCCTTCATCCCCATCCCAAAGCACCTTCCCAAGAGCCCTAGGGAGTGGCCTTAACTGGCCATTCATTTGGGCAAAGGCCTACAGAGGCTGAATTCTGATCCTCGGCCCTTCAGGAATGAGCAGGGGAGAGAACAGTAGGACTCGGCAAGGTCATTGGCATTGGGGTGAGGGGGAAGGGTAGTTATCTCTCGGTCCCCTTTGGCTTTCTGGTTGTGTATGCTCTTCTCTTGGGTATCTGTGGCAGAGAGGGAAGGGACGTTTGTGAGTGAGTGGGGCCAGGCTCTCCTCCCTCGAACTCCTTGAAAATGCTCTTATGACCCTCGCCAGGGAGGAGCATTCGGCTGACACGTTAGGAGGCGACAGGGTGGATGGCAAGGGTTGATAGAAACCTTCGGCTTAGCAGAACTAACTAACTAGGCCCCTTGTGGGGTTTCCCCGTTTCCAATCTGCCCCCCTTAGATTGGACTCCAGGCCCGGGTGGTATTGGGAGAGTCACCAGGATGCAAGCTTGTGCTCACCGACTTTCAGCCAGGGGACATGTGTGCAGTTTAACTTAGTAACACACCTGTCACTGGAATGAAAGCAGTTGTGGCCATGTGGTTATTTTCGGCGTCTCTTTAGCAAGTTGCTGATATTACCCCGCAGCTAGAGCGAGCGAGAAAGCGAGTGCGAGCGGGAGCGAACCTGAGCAGGCACGGGAGAGGCAGGGCTGCTGGCTTCCAGGACGACCCAAACACGGCGGGCAAGGTTAGTAAGCGAGCAGAAGGGAGGGAAAGAGCCCCAAGGTAGCACCCGTCCCCAGCAGACGTGTCCTGTCCTTGGGCCGTCCAGAGGACAGCTCCCGAGGAGCCAAGGGACGGGAGGGAGCCTTCCGGGAGGGGACAGACCAGTCTGGACACAGCGGTGGCCGCCCTTCTCAGAATTAGCATCTGAGCAAAGCAGTGGGAACTCCGTTCCTCTCTGGTGATGTCTCCCTTGGCGATGGATAAGTATATCTTAGCTGAGTCTTCACAGTTGCTGGCCTTGCCTCTGGATATGTGTGTGTGTGTGTGTGTCTGTGTGTGTGTATGCACACACGTGTATGTATGTCTGTATTTCTAGAAGGTTATGGATTAGGAGAGATAATTAGTTTATCAGTAAAGGATCTTCTGAGTCTATTTAAAAACTACTCTGGACAAAACCTTAGAGAGAGAAGTGAAGAAGTGGAGCTGGTTTAACGGGCTTTTTCTTCCCTTCATTTGCTGTGGCCCTGGGTATACTCTAGTGACCCTAGAACTGGAATGAAACCCTTAATGAGAGATAATCCCTCCTCAACCAGTCCCTGTATATAAGTTAAGTATTCTAGAGAGTCGCCATGTTCCCTGGGAGAACTGATCCATAGCTGGGTAGAATGTCAGAGCGAGAAGGGGTCTTCCACAGTCGAAGATCATTTTATCGAGCCCCCTTCTTTTTACAGAGAAAGGGATCAAGGACCACAAAGGGGGAAAAGACTTGTCCAAGATTCATGGAAGAGTGGAGATTAGAACCTAGGCTTCCTGATCCCAAGTTCTCTCTACTTCACCTAATTCCTATGTCTTAAAATCATCCTAACTCGAAACTATGGTCCAAGGAGATGTCATCTAGTCTAACCCCTCGCTTTTTCCAAGCCGTGTTAAGACCAAATTACTTTTAACACATAAACATATCACACCAATGCTATAGAGACAATACATATTCAACTATTCAGGTATCAGTCAAGCTATGCACACCTGTCTTTGGGACAGAAAATGCCTGGAAAGCAAGCAACAGGGAAGTGAATAAAGAGTCTGTCTCAAAATCAGGAAGACCTGAGTTCAAATTCCACATCTGACACGTGCTGGCTATGTCACCGTAAGCAAGCCACTCAATCTCTGCAGTGCCTTCCCTTCTGTTTCCTGTTTTTTCCTGTATATAGCTTATTTGCACATATTTGCTCCTTCTTTCCCATTAGGTTGTGAGCACTTTGAGGGCAGGGACTGTCTTTTACCTCTTTTTGTATCCCTGGTGCTTAGCACAGTGCCTGGCACGTAGTAGGCACTTAATAAATGTTTATTGACTGATTCTCCATTAGACATTTTCAATCAATAAATGCCCCTAGACAACTTTCTAATTGAGCAGGAACCAGTCTTCATTAGTAGGGAAAGTTTCTAACACATTAATGAAACCACAAGCCAGGTCCAAAAGAGGGGGAGTGGTAATAGGGTCCATTTAATTAAAACCATTAATGGGCCCACACCCTACAGGGTTCTGAAATGAAGGTTCTTAATCTAGGGTTCACAGACTCCCAAAAGGTACATGCATAGATTTCCAGAGTTGACGAATTTGGAAGGGGGAAAAATTGCACTTTTGTTTTCAATAACCTACAACTGGAATTTTAACATTTCTTTCAATTACTTAAAAACGTTATTCAGTTACTTAAAAGCATGACACAAAAAAGGGTTAAGAACCCCTGTTCTAGAATAACCCTGACAATCAGTCCCACCCCTCCCCCCTCCTGCCAGGAGGCATGGGCAGTTCTGGCTGAGGGTCAATTGGCCCTAGCCTGAGGTTGCAGCTGACTGGCTGGACAGTCAAGAGCTCAAATCAGATCACAGGATGATGCTGACCCGTCTCAGTCCTGAAGTTCAGAACAGGTTATAGGCTGGAGTCTTCCACCTATCCCAACACCACTCGGCAGTATTACAAGAGTCCCCGACTCTTCCCTGCCTTGAACATGGGATCATAGAACTTGGAAATTGGCAAGAACCTTTGAGATCAACTCCTCCAACACCCACATTCTGAAATTGAGGAAAAGGGCCCAGAAATAGGAAAATGATTTACCCAATGTCACACAGCTAGCAAGTTGGGAAACAGAACCTGAGCCTTCTGACAGTGGGTAGGTGATCTCTGTAATTGGCCCCACCCAGAGAAGTGATCAGACCAAAAGGTTGATTGGAGCTGGAGAGATTCTGGTAGACTCACCAGCACCCCTGGAAGTGGGCTTGGCATCATATCAGCAGCAGAGTGTCAAAAATAGGTACTCCCTGGCCCTCTGGGAAATATCATTTGAGGATTAATGTAGGGTAGAAAGGCAGCTGCCCCTCCACCATGTTCAAATTCCCCCCCCAAAGATACTTAATAGCCATGTGTTACTGAGCAAGTTACTTAACATCTCTGAGTCTCAGTTTCCTCATCTGTAAAATGAAAGTGTTGGATTTGATGACTCCAGGGTCCTGTGATCTCAAGTTAGACTCTCTTCATGTCACATGCCCAGGAGTTCAAGAACATACAGGCACATCCATGCATGTACACCCCTGCTTCCAGAAACCCAACCTTACACAGTGATTTACTCAGGATTTGAACTCAGATCTTCCTGACCCCAAGTCCATCTCTCTATCCACTAAACCATCTAGGTGCCTCAAGGATTTGTTGTATGATCTGAATGGCCAGGTTGTGTGGGTTCAGGGGCCTTCCTCTTCTAATGGGGCTATTCCTACAGAGAGAGCTTCCATGTGTTTCAAGGGACAGTTGAGCCCAGAGCAGAAAGGGCAAGAACACAGCCCCAAAAAGCCAGGATCCCTGGGCCAAATAAATGATGCCTTTTTCAAGGGGCAAAAGAAGAAAATTAGTTGTCTTGTCTGAGATGGTAAGGTGGTAAATAAACCAACAGTGTTTTAAAGAGGGGAAGAGGTGTCCAGGAATTAAGTGACTTCAGTGCATTGACCCACTGTGGATCTGCCTGTCCTCTGCCTACCCTCGGCAGATGTGGGGAACACATAACTCTTTGGAGGCCAGCTAGGTCATGGATTCATCAAAGGCCCTGAGGAGGAAGATGAAGCAGAGCTTGCTGCCTGCCAGTCAACGTCATCATTGAAAGAACACTTGCTTATTAGCTCCCTGGGTGAGCATAGCCCTACAGTTAAACCAGAATGATACGGGGCTTTTTTTGAGGACCAAAGACTTAATTCTCTCAACGTTGATTTCTAAGGGGAAGAAGTATCCCCAGCAGACGCACTGAAAACAGCATTGTGGACACACATGAACACACTGTCAAAAATCGGTGATTTTACCATTGTTTAAAGTTTAGCAGCTAAGCTTTCAAGAGGTCCTTGGGGCTCAGACACATTATGTGATATGTTTATGGTCACATAACTAGCGTGTGTCATAGGTCAGATTTGAACGCACATCTTCCCGATTCCAGGGCCACCCACTCTGCCTACTACATCACACAGCCTCTCAGCCAGTAGGAAAACATCAGGATGTGTTCTGATACCCTTGTGGCCTTGAGATTGGCAGGAATGTGACCGCTAGTGAGCAGGCAGGTGATTTCAGACTGTGTCATCTACATGCTGACCAGGGCTGAGGTGAGGGGTGGGTGAGTGATGTGAATAGCTTTCCGCCACTTTGGGCTGAGATAGGAGCTGCTTATCCTCTGAAGGCCTTTCTCTTTCCAGAGAACTATCTCCTGGAAGCATCCACTTCAGGCCTCACTAGGATACTGTGGGCTTCCCCAAGGAATGGTCCAGTCCCTGACCACAGTCCACTGAACTTCAGTTCCTGCTGAGCCCAGCTCTGTCTCCATAGACAGCTGTGGCTAGGACTTCAAGGTCCCAGCGATCTCTCCTGTTTTCTCTCTTACTCTCCATTGGTGCTCCTTCCATTTTTGATTCTTGGTTGGATCTGGTAGACCTGGTGGCTGCTGGGGCCCAGTGCTTTGCCAGCCTGGGGACTCTGAGGCTAGTTGGGGGTGAGGAAGTCAAATGTAGGTAACATGGAACCACTGACCATTAAAGAGGAAAAGGCCTGAAAGAGATGAGAGGTTATGTGATGCTACCTCTCACTCCTAGGAAAATCTTCTATTCCACAGGCATGTATTAAGTGCCTACTGCATGTAGTATAGCATTGCTAGGTGTTTCAGGAGTTACAGAGCTTAAACAAACTAGTCAATTCCTCATGGAGTTTACTGTCTGTTGAGGGAACCAATCAGTCAACCTGCTGTCATTTATGAAATGCCTACTATGGGCCAGGAACTGTTAAACTGCTTGCATTCTGTCAGAAGAGAGCAGATAACTCTAGTACACTTTGTGTGATCTGCGCATTAGAGAATTGTCACGTAGAGTGGTGTGTGAGGTCTAGGTCGGGGGTGTTTGTTACCAGCTGAGGAAACCATGGAAGGCTTCATTGTGGAGGTGGCATTTGAATTGGGCCCAGAACAACGGGTAGGAGTTGAGAGTGGAAGGGAAAACGTTACAAGTATAGAGAACAGTTCCTATGATGGAGTAGAGCTGGGCTTTGGTCTGCTGGGATCAACCCAGATCCCTCGACAACCTTACCCATCCCAGCTCACCCCAATGAAGGGGCCAGTGGAGGTATATAGAAGACTCATGGGATTAAAATGTAACCCATTTAGGCCAAGTATCTGAGTTTAAGGTACCAGAACCCTGAGAAAGTAGCTACTGGCAGAGAGTTGGGGGAAGGAGTTAGCTAGCAACATGAGCTGAAAACTTAAGTCAGATCTCTCATTGGTCCCTGGCTAATTATATAGTCCCCACACCTAGAGAAGCCCCTCTTTTCCCTCCTGCATGTTTTATCATCGTCATCCTCACCACCACCATCACCTTCGTCATCCATCTCATCATAAATTTGTCTAATTCTTTGCTAGTTAACAAAGTACAATGTATATACAATCTCCTTTGATCAATATTGCAGACATTTATCGAGTGCCTAAATATGTGCATGACCCAGCAACAGATGAATTGTAAGCATGGTTAGGACCCACAACAAAACGAAAGCACACCCAGAGTGTAGTTTTCCTGCATAAGCAAAGATCCCTCCTCACCCCCAGCACTTTCTTGCCTACAGTTTCTCCTTCAGTAATTACACACATTTCTGGAGAGATGTCAGATTTCTATGGAGATTTACAGATATGCTCACAACAACCCTGTGAGTTCAGAAGTGCAGGTATTATTACCCTCCCATTTTGCAGATAAGGAAATTGAGACCCTGATGCATATTGCCCTGGGTTACACAGCTAGTAAGCATCAGAGTTGGGATTCAAACACACATCTCCTGACTTTGAATGCAATACATTTTGAGGTTTCTTCTCTGCAGGCTGGGAGTAAGTAGCCCTCACTCCTATAATCTTGGCTCAGATGCTTTCAAACACCCTAAAAGTTCCCTGTTTGTAGTCAACAGGTTTCAGAAAAAGGTTGTGGAACATGGTAATGTCCTGGTGCCAGGGAAAGATCCTACTGCCTATAAAATTAAAACTGCTTTGCAAACCTTAAAGTACTTAGTGAATGTGAAGTTTTGGTTACTAATTATCATTAATTACATTGTTAATAATTATTGATAATTAATTGTTACAGTATTGCCAGGAAGATGTGCAAGATAGAATAGGAATGTCCTCGTGTTTATTTTAGGATAGGGGTGCCCCATCTTTTTATGCTGAAGCTTCTTTCCTTTCCCTGAAGCCTTATATTCACTGTAGGTGGCAGGGAAGGTGTTGACCATAACATCCTAGAGCTGTCAGGAGAGTACTCACCAAATGACTGTTCTGTCTTCCACGTTGGGAATTCTGATAAACCACCGAGAGGAATGTGTGGTGGAGAGAGGGGTGGGACAGAAGCAAATGCCTGGAAGATTTATCAGTTAAATCCTCGAGATTTACCTAGAGGTCCTGATCTTCTAGTGGCAGAGCCTCAAGTAGGAGGTTGTTACTGTCGTCATGGGTATGGAATGGAAGAGAGATAGCCCAAGGACCCCCAAGTTATCTCATATGATGAGGACCTTGAATGCTTAGAGCAGAACAATTCCCAAATGATAGGGCTTAGAATTTCTGTTTTATAAAACATTTAAGGTGGGAAACCCACTGCCTTGCACATAATAGATACTCAATAAATGGGTGCTGAAGTGAGCTGAATTCAGGAAAACTGACTCGCATCCTCATTTACCATAATGTCCCTGCATCCCTGCCTCCACTTCCCACCACCCAAACCCCTCAAACCCAGCACCGACTGACTTCTCCGGCCTCTTCTCTCCTTGCAGTGATGAATGGAAGTAGCCATTCCCCAACGGCGATCAACGGAGCCCCATCGACCCCCAATGGGTTCAGCAATGGCCCAGCCACCTCTTCGACAGCCTCACTGTCCAACCAGCAGCTCCCGCCAGCCTGTGGTGCCCGACAGCTCAGCAAACTCAAACGCTTCCTTACCACCCTGCAGCAGTTTGGGAATGACATCTCCCCTGAGATCGGGGAGCGGGTCCGCACCTTGGTGCTGGGGCTGGTGGTAAGCTTTGGCTCACATTTCAGGAACAGGTGGCTTTTTTTGATGGGGGGGGAGATCATCCACCTAATCCCATGCTTGGAGCTGTGCCAAGGGTCACTGGCATCAGAGGCCTGGGTACCAGCCAAGGCACACTCCTTGCCCCATAACTCCAGGAGCTCTGAGAGCCCAGCCCAGCCCCCCAGGATGGGGTGGCTTGGTGGTCCCTCCTGGACTAAGTGGTCCCCTGGTTTCACTCCACCAAGGAGTCACTTCCACTTACCCACCTACTGGTATGTTCCTCACCCTGATAGACAAGAGCAACCATTCTCTCTTAAACTACATCCAGAGTGACCCTCCCTGCTTCCCCAGCTCAGGCTCTTTTTTCCAGTTATAGAAGGATCTGAGGAGGTCATCTAATCCATGACCTCACGTTCCAGCAAAAACATCCCAGAAAAATGAAACTGCATTCCATTTCCGAAGTGGTATTACAAGGAAATGTCAGTGTCTGTCCATAATTCTCTTCCTGTTTCTCAAGAAAACTCTCCCTACTTCTCAGCTTTAGTAGATCGAGCACTGAATTTGGGCTCAGGGGATCATGCATTCCAGTTCCTCCTCAGACACTAACTAGCTTTGTGAATATTCAATTTCTCTGAGCTTCCATTTCCCCCAATATGAAATGGGAATGATGATAACAGCTGCTGATGTGGTTGTCTCAAATGAGATCACGTACATGTCAAGTACTTTGCTTTGAGACACTACATAAATATGAGATTATTACTATTCCTCTTGTTTTGCCTTTGATGAAAATAGAGAATGCTCTGTATCAGAATCCCTCATGTCATTGTATTCCTTTGTCTCTCCTCTGCCTTCTCTTTGGGATAAAGAATACCGGCCAATTAGTACTTTGTAGAAACAGAATCCCAAAGTGTTAGAGTAGAAGGGACCTTAGAAATTGCCTACTCCTCCCCACTGACTTTACCAATGAGGAAATGAGGTCCAGATGAGGGGGAGTAACTTAGCCTAGGTCACACGGTGAGTGGCCGAGACTTGACCCAGGTCATCTGACTTCCAAGTCCAGGGATCCGCACAGGAATGATTTTCTGGCCCATCCTTCCCTTTGGTGGTTCCCCTCTTTGCCTGACTCTGTTTCACAGATCAGCCTAAACACCTAGTTTATGAGTCTATTTCCTTCTAACAAAGAATAAGATGTGAGTGAGGAGGGAGACCGGTCTGGCATCCAGAGAAGACACCTCTGTGGTTTCTGAGAGCCTGGACAGAAATTAGAGAAGGAAAAGATAGCCATGCAAACCTGCAGCCTAATGATGGAGATGAGATAATGAGCAACTTCCCTCCCATCCCACTTTGGGATTGTGACCAGTGAATAGGGTGCCTCATGTTCCAGTCTCTTGAGTATAGGCGTCCCAGTCCCACCTACTTCTCAGCTTAGGAAAGACATCTTTGGAGGAGGTACCCATTAGATCCCATCTCACAATGAGACCATGTGGTCAAATAGCACAGGGAGGCTCTCCAAAGGAGCAAGGAAGCTGTCGTTTTCTTTGTCTGGAAAGCAATCTAAGCCGTTGCTCCCAGTGGCCAGCCTCATCTCTGGCTCCTGGAGCTGAGTTGTAAGTCATTCCCAAAACAGTGAAGCTGGCCCCAGGAGGTAACAGGGTACAAGGAAAAGAAAGGAGGAGGAGGATTCCAGCCCCAACAATTAATTGCAAAACCTTAGGCAAGGTGCTTCTACGAAGTAGAAGGAGGGTAACCTGAGAGGGGATGGCACAAGCAGATGAGGGATGGAAGGTGATTCCCCTGTGTACTAGCCGGCCCATTTCCTTTACAAGAGAGAGGATGGTACCTTCCATTCCAGGGTTACCAGGAGGAGTGGACGTGATGCCAGCAGACGTGGGTAGGGTGGAACTGATTCGGGTCCCGTTCTTCCTCTTTCCTCCAGAATTCTACCCTGACAATTGAGGAGTTCCATTCCAAACTCCAAGAAGCCACCAATTTTCCTCTGCGCCCATTTGTCATTCCCTTCCTGAAGGTAAAGACTCCTCTAATTACCCTTGTTTGCTAGAGTCCTATGAAGGGTGAGATTTCTTCTCCCACCTCAATTCTCTCTGTCTGTTTGTATGTATGTATATATTTATGTATATATAGTTGTATGTGTATATTATACATATATGCGCAGAAGTATATACACACATGCACATGTGTATATGTGTGCATTGTGCATGTGTGTATTGCATGTGTGTACATGTATGTGCATGCATATGTAATATGTGTGTTTTATTATTGCTCCTACCATTTTTTTTTGCTTCACTCTCACTTTCTAGAGACTCCATCACCCACCGTGCACACATTATGTATCCCTCATTCCACATCTAGAGTCCACCGCTTCTCAGCCAAGAGGAAAGAGATAATAAATGATCAGTTTCCCCAGAAGTCACAATTGGTCCCAAAGTTCTGACGCCTTTTAGTATCATATTTTTTTTTAACAGTGTAGAGGTCGCTGTGGAAATTAAATTAATCTATGAGCATTATTTAAGGGTTTACTTACTATGTTAGCCCAGGAACTGGGCTAAGTGATGGTGATGAGAAAAACCCCCAATCCCCATTTTATATTTGGTGAAACATATACATAAATAGGGCTAGACCGAGCAGAAGGGAGATGACAGAGAGGAAGGTGCTAGCAAATGGGAGGAGGACTGAGAGAGAGCTTCTGCAGAAAGTGGCGTTGGGGCTGCATCTTGAAGGAAGCCAGGGATTCTACGTGGCCAAGATGGGGGTGGGGGGAGAGAGCATTCCTGGCATGGGAGACAGTCAGTGTGAAATGTCGGGCATGAGAGATAGACCGTTATGTGTGAGTAGCAACAAACAGGCCAGGATTGTTGGACGCTAGAGTGTGGGGAAGGGAGGGATATGGAAGACGGGAGAGCTAGGAAAGGATCGGGTTGTGGAAAGCATCGTTGTTGTTTTTGTCCTCCTTCATATTCTTGTCCTTGTCCTTCTCCTCCTTCTTCATCTTGTCCTTCTTCTTCTCCTCCTCCTCCTCCTTCTTCTTCATCTTCTTGTCCTTCTTCTTCTTCTTCTTCCTTCATTCTCAGAGAGGGCCAGTGACATCACAAAGCCTTTAGATTAATTAATTCAAAAATTGTGATCATGGCAGAGAATTGGAATGTAGGAAAAGCCAGATTCCAGGGAGAATATTGTGAAAAGCTTTCAGTGCCAAACCAATGACTTCATACTTGCTCCTAAAGGTAGCCAGGTAATTACTCAATGCTGCAGTTCATTGTGGGGGGTGGGGAGAGAATATGTACGGTGATATCCAGTGCAAATTTGGAAGGCCAGATGGAATGTGGTAACCTTTAGAATTCTGAAAGCTCCCCAACATCTTTAGTATAGCCTAATGGGACCCTGACCTGAAGTTCAGAGCTGAATTTTAGGAATATCTCTTTGGTTGTTGAGTGGAGGATGTATTGGAGTGGGGAAAGACTTGACTGAAGCAAGAAGACCAATTAGGAGACTCCTCCAGTTCTAGGCTGTAGTCCATTCTAATAAGTCATAGTTGCTTCAAACCAGTTCGAACCAGTGGGAGCCCCTGAAAGCCTTTTTTAATGGGTTCAATCCAGTTTAGACCCAGTCACTGCCATTGCCCTGAGAAGGCTTTGTCTAACATTCAGCATCTTTGTCAAGTGTATACTCCAGACTTTCTTTTTAGAAATCATAGACCCTTTGGATGTAGATCTGGAGGGTCCTTAGAGATGGTCTAATCCAGGGATGGGAAATCTGCAGCCTCAAGGCCATATGTGGCCCTCTAGGTCCTTAAGTGTGGCTCTTTGACTGAATCCAAACTTCAGTTCACTTGAGGACCTAGTGGGCCCCAGGGGCCCTTGAGGCCGCAGATTCCCCACCCCCGGATCCATCTCCCTCCTTTCACAGATGAAGACACTGAGACCCGGAGAGAAGCACCTTTCCCTAGGCACTGTGATCCTGGCTGGGCAAGTCACTTAATCTCTGTGTGCCTCAGTTTCCTGAACTGTAAAATGAGGATAAAAATAGCACCTACCTCTTGAGGATTGTTGTGAGGATCAAATGAGATCATATTGGGGGTTTTCTTTATTTTTTCTTTTCCCACTCTTTTTAAAATGTTTTTCTCAATTACATATAAACAAAACATTTTCCCTCTCTCCCCTCCCCCCTCTTTGAGAAGGCAAGCAATTTGATACAATTATATATGTTCTGCCAGCGTATAATGTTTACCAAATTGCTTGCCTTCTTAATAAGAGAATATTTGTAAATCGCTTAGCATAGTGCCTGGCACACAGTAGGCACTTCATAAATGCTCCTTCCCTTCCCCTGAAGATGCACAGGTATTGGGTAACAGAGAGCCCAGATCTTCTAACTCCATTCATTTCCCATTTTTCTGTCCTCTCTTGGTCTGGCCTGAGGGAGGGTCCTGCCTCATCCTCTTGTGTCAGGGTCCCATTAGGCTATGCTAAAGATGTAAGGAGCTTTCAGAATTCTAAAGGCTACAACATTCCATCTGACCTTCCAGATTTGCTTTGGCCCCACCCACGTTCAATAGGACCTTCTAGGTGGTCTTAAGGAGACACTGATTTAAGCTTGAAACATATAGGAAAGCTGTGCTCTTTGGCATCGATCCACCGTGGAACCTGGCCAGGGTTCCAGCCCAGGGCATCCCATCATCCCTGCTTTTTTTCCGGGAAGCTCTTCACCCACACTTTTCCCCCTCAAAGGGCTGGTCTCCACCGCTGCTTGGTGTGGTTCTGTTTTGCACACGCACTGGGCTCCTCCCTCGTTTTTCCTCCTTCCTGCACACACACCCACTCACTGCCTTGCTCACACTCACAAGCCAAAGGCAAAGCTGGAGCTGTTTGCAATAAAGTGAGGGTTTAGGCCCATCTGGTAATCATTTGCAATTCATTAAAGCCCTTCCCTTTTCTTCTTTTAACTTAATGCTGAGTCTGCCTCCTTCCCATCTTTGGGGACACACAGCGCGCTAGCATTTCTGTCAGATCAAATATTTACAGCAGATGTTCTGGGTCTGGCTTCAGCTGCCCCTGTTTATCAGAGGAGTAGAGGGAGGGAAAACAATCTTTTGCATCTTTATTATTCTTTCTTTTTTTTCCTGACCCCCCTTCTCCTCATCGGTCAGGGCTTCCCATGGCTTCCCATGGCTTCCCAGCCCACTCTGAGCAGGACCTCAGAAAATGCTTCGGGTCCCCCTAGAAGGCCACCGCCATATTGCCTCCTCTCTGTATGAGAAACAAGTTAGAGAAACCCCCCTAGGCTGCTGAAGAGGCAAGATCTCTGCTGGAAAGAAGCCACAGTGGGGCAGGGGAAGAGGCACCATGCCAACCTGAGCAGCAACCCTCCCTCCAGCGCTTAGCACAGCGTCTGGCCCACAGTAGGCTTTTCATAGCGCACAGTAAGTGCTTTATAGTTGTCTGTTGACTTGACTTGACTGATGCTTACTATTGCTTTATAGGACCTGAGACAAGGTCCTCAATGCTTCTGTGCCTTGATTTTCCCATCTGCAAAAATAGCACAATAATGTCATACAGTAGCTTTCTTGCCTTTGGGCTCTCTTCCAGACATACGCTAGCTAACTTGGCTTTCCCATCCTGACCTTGTCCAGAAATTGCCAGTTAGTTGCCCAGGGCTATGACATGCACCAAGGGAACAGAAAGAATGAGGCTCTCTTTCATCCTATGTGGTCCTGTGGGGGTCAAGCCAGGTTGGGCAAAGACAAAACAAACAAAATGTTTCCCAGTTGCGTTTTCAGAGGCTGTTTGTAAAGTTATTGTATGTTAGCTATTGGGCTCTGTCTGGGATCCTGGTCCCTGTCATCACTAACTAAGTCCACTCACAGTCCTCCATATGGGTGGATGACTTCATCCCCCTTTCTGCTGCCAACCTAGAACCCTTATTTCCAGGCATTAAGTGACTCCTCTTGGGCCTCAGCTCCTCTCATCCGAGGACGCCTCTTGCCACAGATGGGGTCTGCAGGGCAGACTCCCAGGCCTCACTAAGCTCCCCTCCCCTTGCTATAGTGTGGTAAATGTGGCGTCCATGCCAGCTCACCAGCCTGCCCCTGCCAGGAAAGGAAGGTTTTTCACTTCTCTGACGAGGGGACCCTGGGGATCTCCAGGCAGACGCAGTTGCCTTCTGACCTGAACCCCAGGGCTGGCCTTAGATTGTGTGTCCTTCTCATCTGTTCCCTTCCCCTGGTTTTAGGTTGCTTGGCTCATCCTTTTTCAGAAACTGCCTCATTAACACGTTGTTGAATGGAGCTTGGCCTTTCTGGAGCCAGGGAAATCACTTTACACTATTCCCCTTGCTCCATGTGGGCACCCTGGTTCCAGCTGTTTCCAGCCAGGGATCCAGATGCTTTCCATTATCCTAACTGCAACCAGCCGGGCCCGGTTTGTTTCCCATACTCTCTCTCTCTTTTAATTATTATTAGTATTATTCCTCCTCCTTTTTAGTGGCGGAGGGGAGGCTGGTTAGGAGAAGAGGAGATAGGGGAGAGGGATGGGAGGATGTTTGTAGCCTTCAAACCTACAGCACCACATTTCCTCAGCTCACACTCCTAACATGTTCAACAGATGGAGGTTTGGCTGGCGTTCAGCTATCTAAATAGAAAAACAGGACGGGCAGGGAGAGCAGCTTGACAAAAAATGCATTCTGCCGCTTAATCGTCTCTGGGCTGGATGCTGTGATGGGGAGGCGGGGAAGAGGAGAAGCTTTGGAAGTCCATGAGAAAGTTAAAAGTCTGCTTGGGGGCTGGGGGAATTTATTTATTTACAAATACTTAAAAACCACTGACTCTTCCACATGGCATCCTTCCCAGGCCCGCCTCACCTACCCTAGAGATTCTTTTTCTGCTCATGCCTTCCTCAGAGCCTAGACTGGTGGAGGTCCTGGAAGGAGGTACCCTGGGAGGACCATTTGATGACCCAGTGGGGAGAGATGTAGCTCAGAGATTTCTATTGTCTTTGGGGTGGGGGTTGGGGAGGGGCTCAAGAGGTCTTGGGAAACATGCAGGCAGAGATCCAGAACATGGACTGGGGGTAGAGGGAAGATTGTCCTTGGGTAGTAGGCCTCCTGAATTCTCTGTGCTGTGAGCACAATCCCATGTCAATAATTCTTCGCCTGGGTATCCCCCTAGCTTCAGTAGAAGGCACTAGGGACAGTCCAGTGCAGGGCTGTAATATTCAGGCAAAGGGTAGGAGCCCCCAAGGCAGCTTTATCAGCTAGAGCAGTGCTCTAATGCTAGCAGCTCTTAGTTCCAATCAAAACTGGAAACCAGGAATCACTCTGACCTCTCCCCCACACTGGGGGAGATATCATCAACTCTCAGCCACTAGAAAAGTCTATCTAGTTCTCCCTAGAAGAAGAGGTCACCAGCCATTACTAGCTCCACTATTCACACATTTGTTAGACACCAGGGCTAAAACTAGCAATTTTTGCATGGAGGGCAAGCAATGAAAAACCACTCAGTTTAGTTGGAAGTGGAAATCCAAAGACACCATAAAGCAGCTGGGGCAGGGGAATGGGCATAGGCCAGGGAGGAGATTACTTGAGATATGGACCCACGATGGTAGTGGTGGAGGGGTGTGGGGAGAAACGGCTAAAAGAATAATTACCTAGTAGTTCTTGCTAACTAGATACTGAACTCACTGGTTTTTATCCTATTGAAAGTATTTTCAGCATCCCCCAAGTTTTGGCACCCGGCAGCAAGGCCCCACTTTAGTTTTGTCTTTATTAAGTACTTGCTTATGTAAAGCCCTGTGTTGGGGACCATAAGGAATGCAACATCTTAGTTGGCCATATAGTCCAATCCATGACTAAATAAGAATCCCTGCTATAGGATTCCAATAAGCGGTCATCTGACCTCTCCTTGCATTCTTCCAGTAAAGAGGAAATCTCCTAAGACAGTCCACTTTTGGACAGTTCTTATTATTAGGAAGTTTTTCCTTTTCCAGCCTCTGAACTCCACAATCTCAAAAAAACCCACATGAATTAAGTGCCTGCTATGCCCTGGAGAGACACAGTCCCTTCTTACGTTGCTCTATCTCTCCTTGTTCCTGGTTCAGCCCTCTGGAGTCACCCAGGATAAGTTTGAATTCATCTTCTATAGGAAAGTCCTTTAAATACTTGAAAAAAAGCCATCATTCACCCACCTGTCAATATCTTTTCTTCTCTTGGCTAAATGCCCTCAGTTCCTTCAATCAGTCCTCAAGTGATATGACCTGCAGTCCACGCCCCATGCTGGTTGTATTTCTCTGGACAAGCTCTGATTTGTAATGCCCTTCCTAAAAGATGGTCTGACTAATACAGAGTCATTCTAAACACTGGGCAGCTCTCAATGCAGCCTAGGACTTTGGGTTGTTGTCCAGTCATGTCCAACTCTCCATGACCCCATTTGGGGTTTTCTTGGCAAAGATACTGGGGCGGTTTGCCATTTCCTTCTTCAGCTCATTGTACAGATGAAGAAACTGGGGCAAACAGGGTTCAGTGACTTGCCCAGGGTCACACAACCAGGAAGTATCCGGGGCCAGATTTGAACTCATGAAGATGAGTCTTCCTGACTCCAGACCCAGAGCTCTATCCACTATGACACCACGCAGCTGCTCCAGGACTACATTAGCCGTTTTCAGCTGCCGGATCGCCCCGTTGACTTATAATCTAATACAACTCTAAGACATCTTTCACACAAATTATTGACTTTTTTCATATAAGTATAGGACTTTCTATTCATCTTTATGGAATTTCATCTTGCTCATTTGGCCCATCATTTTAGCCTGTCCTGACTCTGTCATCTAACAATTAACTGTCCCCCAGCATTTAGTGAATCTTCACTAAAGGCCTCGTCTGTCATCATCAATCAGCTCATGGCCTCACCTTGAGTCTAGTCATTTCACCAGTTCTGATTTCCCCTAACTGTATCAACATCTGGTCCACATCATTCCATTCTTGTCCTCAGGGATAGCATGAATGAAAGATGGGTGGTGAATGAGTGACCAAGGGCAAATCACTGAGTATCTCTGAGCCTCAGTTTCCTCGTCTATAACAATTAATTAAAAAGCATTTTTTAAGTGCTTGCTGTGTGCTAGGTACTGTACTCAGCCCTGGAAACACAAAAAACAAGCAAGCAAAAAATACAAGCAAGCAAAACAGTTCCTGCCCTCACGGAGGTTACATTCTAATGGAGAAAGATAAAACATAAGGAGGCACTGAAAGGGGAAGGAGATTGTATTCATGTAGGACTAGGGCCTGTAGGGTAGCTAGGTGGTGACATAGTGCACAGAGCACTAGCAGTGGAGTCAGGGACCCTCATTTTCCAGAATTCAAATCCGGCCTCAGACACTGGCTCTGTGATCCTGAGCAAGTCACTTAACCTTGTTTGCCTCAGTTTCCTCAAGTGTGTAATGAGCTGGGGAAAGGAAATGGCAAACCACTCCAGTGTCTTTGCCAAGAAGACCCCGAATGGGGTCACAGAGAATTGGATACAACGGAGCAACAACAATATGGATTATAAATGACCAGGAGGTGACTTGAAGGCCTGGTTCCAGGCAGGAGAAGGTAAAAGGTCATCAATCATAACCCAGGGTCCCAGGACCATACCGTCTTAGTATTCTACCTTAAAGGGTTGTTATGAGGATCAGATGAGAATAATATATATATTTGTAAATATATCTAAATATAAATATATGTAAATACAAAAACCTTGGCAAATCTTAAAGCAGTATAGAAATGTCAGCTGTTATTATTATGTTATTATTATGAGCAGCACAGACAAGTGTCTCAGGAGTCCACAGATCATACAGCTTTGTCTTAGGATAAGCTTCTTGTAGGAAGCAGGATTTGACACAGGCCTATCTTTTGCCTCTTCTTCTATCTCTAGCACTTAGCACGATGCGCGGCACACAGCAGGCGTGCAATAAACGTTCATTGATTGACTGAAGAGTAGTGAAGATTTCGATAGGTCATAAAATGGGACGTAGCGTGTGAAATGACGTGAGCAAAGACACATGGAGATTAGAGGGTGGCCAGTGAACAGAGGTCCCTCGGGGACTCTCATCTCAGATGAATTGTGATCAGTTTCCTCTTCTGTAAAATGGGGATAGCAATAGCACCTACCTCACAGGGCTGTGGTGAGGATCAAATGAAATGATTGTAAGGTATTTGGCACAAAGTAAACACTGTATAAATGTTTGATAGTAGTAGTAATAGTAATCCTGGTGGTAATGGTAGTAGTAGCAATAGTAGTGGTAGTAGTGGTGGTGATGGTAATGGTAGTAGTAGTGGCAGGGGGCAGCTAGGTGGCGCAGTGGATAAAGCACCGGCCCTGGATTCAAGAGGACCTGAGTGCAAATCCGGCTTCAGACACATAACACTTACTAGCTGTGTGACCCTGGGCGAGTCACCTAACCCCATTGCCTAAAAAACAAACAAAAAAAGAATTATCAAGTAGTAGTAGTGACAGTGGTTATAGTAGTGATAGTAAGAGTGGTAGTGGTAGTAGTAATAGTACTGGTAGTAGTAATGGTGATGGTAATCGTAGTAATAGTAGTAGGGGCAGTGGTTATAGTAGTGATAGTAATAGTAGTAGTGGTAGTAGTAGTAGTAATAGTAATGGTAGTAGTAGTAGTAGTGATGGTAATAGTAGTAGTAGTGGTAGTAGTAATAGTAGTGATAGTGATGGTAATAGTAATGATAGTAGTAGTAGTGGTGGTGGTGGTGGTGGTGGTAGTAGTAGTAGTCAACTTCTTTGAGGAAACCAAAGCATGAAGTAGTAGAGACGCTCTTAGGCTCACTAGATGGAGAGATGGAAGGGGATTTCCAGATGATCTGGTTGAAGCACCTCATCTTACAGAAAAGGAAACTGAGGCCCCGAGAGAGAGCTGGCCCTCCCTTCCCCACCCCCCACATCAGTGAGTTAAACCCTCTTCTCTCCCACAGGCAAACCTGCCCTTGCTGCAGCGGGAACTCCTGCACTGCGCCCGCTTGGCCAAGCAGACCCCAGCCCAGTACCTGGCCCAACATGAGCAGCTCTTGCTAGATGCCAATGCTTCTTCTCCCATCGACTCCTCCGAGCTTCTCCTGGAAGTCAATGAGAACGGCAAGAGGAAGACGCCAGACAGGTGAGGAGAGGGAGGAGGGGGGGAGGGGGGGCCAGGCATTACTCCCATCAACTCGACACTTTTCAGCCTGCATTTTAGCTCAAGGGAGGAGGCAGTGTGGTTCAGTAGAAATCAAGCACTGGTCCCGGAGGCAGAGGATGTGAGTTCCAATCTCGCCTCTGTTGCCTGCTAGTCATTGAACTTCCCTGGGCCTTGGTTTCTTCATCTGCAGAATGAGGCGGTCAGGCCCAAGGTCTCTTCCAGCCCTAAATCTGCGATTAGAGACAGCAAAGTAGAACAATGGAGAGAATGCTGGGCCTGGAGTCAGGAATCAGGCATGTAACTCGCTGTGTGACCTTGAGCAAGTCACTTAACCTCTGTTTGCCTCAGTTTCCTCATCTGTTCAGTGGAGATAGTAATAGCACCTACCTCACAGAGTCACCGTGAGGGCCACATGAGATAATATTTGTAGAGCGCTGAGCATAGTGCCTGGCACATCATAAGCACTATAAAAATGTTGGTTATTATTATCATTATCATTATTGTCCCCCCCCTTTGCAGATTACAATTTATCTCAGACCAATCATGGTAAAGGACAAGTGAATTATAAAGTAGGTCGGTTAGTCGTCTTTTCCACTCCAGAGAGCACAAGGCCAGGGAAAGAATATCTCGGTTTAAGTTGAATGCAGAAGCCCTGAGTTCAAATTCCAATTCTGCCATTTACTAGCGGTGTGAGTTTAGGCAAGTCACTTCACTGGGCCTCAGTTTCCTCATTTGTGAAGTGAAAAAGTTAGACTAGACAATCTCTAAAGTTTCTCCCAAATTAAGCCCTATTTTTTTGAAAGTTCTGCCTTATATGCAAGTCAATTTCAGGACTTAAAAGACCCCTCTTGCCCCACCCCACCCAGGAGCCCTCCCAAAAGGCAATGTGGCCAATTAAGGATAAATTGATGGAAAGTGGAGGGAAAGGATGTTTCTGGTAGGACTCTTCTAGCCAAGGTCAACCTCCAGGTGTCGAGGCTTTCTTACCTAGGATGGTATGCAGAATGCCAGAGGGTCAGGGTAGAGAGGATCCCCAGAGTCTTCAAGGGGCCTGGGCTTGAGCACTCCCTGCCTGAGAGCTGAGTGGTGGATAGGTGGGGGAGTGTCACTGGGGCCTGAGTCCTCCCTGCAGGGTCACAGAGGTAGTTGTCCCCAAGTAGCACATGCTGCGGCTCAGAGCCCAGGAGGGTGTCTGGTTAACGGCGGCACAGTGGCTCCCTCTTCCTGGCTCCCTCCCATGGAGGGTCAGACTTCTTAATGAAGACCTGTATCTCATAATTCCAGTCTCCAGGGAACAGGGCTATGTTGAGGCTGGCATGCTACCCGCCTTGCCTAGGGTACAGACCAGAGCTGCTGGGTTGGTGTGCTCAGGAAGATGATTCACATATCTCTCTCTTTCTCCTTCTTTCTCTTTCCTTCTCTTTCTCCCTTCCTCCTCCTCCTCCTCCTCCTCCTCCTCCTCCTCCTCCTCCTCCTCCTCCTCCTCTCTCCTCCTCCTTCTTCTTCTTCTTTCTTCTTCTTCTTCTTCTTCTTCTTCTTTCTTCTTCTTCTTCTTCTTCTTCTTCTTCTTCTTCTTCTTCTTCTTCTTCTCCTCTTCCCCTCCTCCTTCCTCTTCTTCTCTTTCTCCCTTCCTCCTTCTCTCCTCTCCTCCTCCCCCTCCTCTTCCTTCCTCTTCTTCTCTTTCTCCTCTTTTCTCCTTCTCTCTTTCCTTCTCTTTCTCCCTTCCTCCTCCTCCTACTTCTTCTCCTCCCCCTCCTTCTCCTCTTCCCCTCCTTCTTCCTCTTCTTCTCTTTCTCCTCTTTTCTCCTTCTCTCTCTTTCCTTCTCTTTCTCCCTTCCTCCTCCTCCTCCTCCTCCTTCTTCTTCTCCTCCCCCTCCTTCTCCTCTTCCCCTCCTCCTTCCTCTTCCTCTCTTTCTCCTCTTTTCTCCTTCTCCCTCTCCCTCCTCCTCTTTCTCCCCCTTTCCTCTTTTTCTTTCTTTCTCTCATTTGTTCTCCTTTATACCATGTATCCTGGCCTGTACCTGCTTGTTCCTGTCTCTGCCATCTTGGCCTCTGCTGTCTATCTATTTGCCTCCCTTCACACTGGGCCAGGACCAAAGAGAATGGGTTAGACCGAGACCCGCTGCACCCCGAACACCTCAGTAAACGGCCATGCACCCTGAGCCCTGCCCAGAGGTACAGCCCCAACAACGGGCTGAGCCATCAGCCCAACGGGCTGCCCCACCCCACGCCTCCCCCACCTCAGCACTACCGCCTTGAGGACATGGCTGTGGCCCACCACTACAGGGACACGTACCGGCCCCCTGACCCCCGAGAGCTGCGGGAGCGCCATCGACAAGTTGGTGAGCAGACCCCAAGGACCTTCCCTGCCCTGGGCCAGAGTAAGGGGTTTGGGTGGGAGTGATGGAGGGTTGCACAGGAAAGAAATGGTCCTGCGGGGTATGAAGAACAGAAATCACCCAGATGAGAAGGAGAAAAAGGAAGGTCCATAGGACCCCAAGAGGGACGAAATAGGAGGCAGAAGTCGCCAGGGAGTTGAAGGAAAGACCTTGTTGTTGGGCATCAGCCTTTGAATGAGAAATAAGACTGGAGTCCATGTTCCATGAGTGCCGAGGAGTATAGTATCTCTGATCCCTGCTTAACCTGAGTATGTGAGGAGACCTGTCATCCTTCTACCTCCTCTGATGAAAAAGAAGCCCTCAGGAACAGAATCAGGTGTACAGCTCCCTGAGGGAAGAGCTCAGAAGCTACATTTTCCCAGTGTCCCACATTCCTCCCCAACCCCGAGCTAAATATTGCAAAGCATGTGATGGTGTCATGGACACTGGGCACGTGTAGGGGACCCAGACTCTCCAGAGCCTGGGGCTGGGGCAGCCTTGAGCACCATAAACCTTCCAACACTGTACAGAGCCTGGGCATGGTGTGGGTAAGCAGTGTGTGAGGTTCAAACAGAAGAATTCCAGAGCCAGACACCACCGGCCTAGAACCTTCGGGTATGTGGTCATCCAACTGATAGGCCACATCCATGGGGGCAATGCTGGTCTTTCCCAGGAGTGAATCTCCAGTTATTTGCTCTCCATTTTCTTCAAGCAGAGCACTGTTATAGGCACTCTGGAGGGCTCCCCAGAACATGGAAAACATACAGAGTCCCTGCCCGCTAGGATATGAAAGTCTGGTTGGGGAGAGGTGTCACATGACTTATCCACATGGTGCCCTGGCATATAGTAAAAGCTCAATAAATATTTTATCTATATCTAAAAACATTTCAGAAACGACCAAGGAATATACAAGTAAGCATCTGCTAGTTCTGTGCCAGCAGACTTGAGGGGCCATAGCGTAAAGGAGTGACCAGAAAGCGGGGAGCAACTAGAGACTCAGTCCTGGGAAAGCTCAGCATGAGCCTCTCCCTGGACGGGGCCTACTAGCTGGCTGTCCTCCTCCCCTCAGGGTTCCAGGCCCAGGCAGCAGGTGATGGTGTCTGGCTCCTTGAATCCCAGGGTCAGGCAGGTGCTAATTCCCACCAGCTCCTGCTAATGCAAAAATAAACGCCAGTTGTCCCTCCAGATTCCAGCCACTATTTTGGTTGAAGTGTTGGCTCGAGTTCCTGATGACACACAAAGTAGGACAGGGTAGCCCAGCCCAACTCAGGGAGCTCCACCTTCTCCTCCTTCTCCTCCTCACTCCCCTCCCCCAACTTTGCAAGAGAGTGAGTCATGGGTAGGGGAGCCCAGAGAAGTGTGCCGGGCCCTCAGAGGGTGTGGGGTAAGCATGCGACTCTACCCACTCTGGCCAAGTGAGCGATAACCCATCTCTACTGAGCACTTAGTTTGGGAAAGATGTCATCCTAGGCACCGGGGGGGAGGGGAAGGGGAAGGCAGGGAGGAGAAGGAGGAGAGGGAAAAGGAGGAAAGGAAAGAGGAAGAGGAGGAAGAGGGGAGAAAGAAGAAGAGAAGGAAGAGGAGAAGAAGGAAGAAAGGAAGAGGAAGAAGAGAAGGAGAAGAAAAGGAAGAAGAGAAGGAGAAAAGTGGAGGAGGAGAAGAAAGAAGAGAGGAGGAGGAAGAAGAGAAGAAAGAAAGGGAAGGGGAGGAGAGTGATGTATAGGGGAAAGAGGAGGAGGGGGAGAAGGAAGAAGAGAAGGAAGAGAAGGAAGAAGAGGAGAAAAAGAAGAAGAGAAGGAGAAAAGTGGAGGAAGAGAAGAAGGAAGAGAGGAGGAGGAGGAAGAGAAGGAAGAAGGGGAAGGGGAGGAGAAGAAGGGGAGGGAGGAGGAAGAAGAAGAGGAGAAGAAAAGGAAGAGGAAAGGAGAAAGGTAGAGGAGGAAGAGAGGAGGAGGAGGAAGAGAAGGAGGAGGAGGAGGAGAAGAAGAAGAAGAGGAAGGGGAGAAGAAAGAAAGGTGAAGGAGGAGGAAAGGAAGGAGGATTTTGACTAGGACAAGGACAGGATATGAGAATTGCTTTAGATTTGGGCAGATCCATCTGTGCAAGATGGATCAGTTACCACAGGACCCTTTCCCCTAGAATTGTGTTCTCAATACCTGCCTTTCCCTCTCTCCCAGCTGTACATGGCTCCCGGCAAGAAGAAGTGATTGACCACAGGCTCACAGACCGAGAGTGGGCAGAGGAGTGGAAGCACCTCAACAATGTAGGTAACCCCAAGTCAAAGACTGCCCCACAGAAGGCCACACCAGGCTGTCTAGGGCCAACAGGAAATGGACAGTGCTGCCTTGTAGGTTCATGGTAGGCTTCCCTATGTGGGGGTGCAGTGAACACAGGTGTTCCTGGGCCACATAGCCTGGTGGCACCTTCCAAAATCTCCGAGTTCTCTTTGTGGTTCCATGGGTCAATCCTGTGCACCAGGTTCCCTGCTCAAGACTTGAGAGATGTAAGAGCACAGTCCTCAACCCCATGGGGTTCGGACCTACCCTGGACCAACTAGCCAGTCGGCATCCTTTATTGAGGGCCAGTGATGGGTGCCATCCCATCTTAGGCATTCTAGGGGGAGGATACAAAAGAAATAAAGACATGGCCCATTCACTTTTGTTACTATTATTCTGTTATACTGGAGAGATGGCAGGATGAGGGGAAGGCAGTAACTATAGATCTATGTTCTTGTGCCAAGCTATTCCATCTAAAATAAGTATTAAAAATGTCACCCTCTAATATATAAAACAGACATTAAAATAACACCATCCTTCATTGAGGAAAATCACTACCTTCAGCCTTACATAAAACCATTACATATCTCATTTATCCTTACAACAGTCCTGTGAGGAAGCTAGTACAAGTCATTATTGTCTCCATTTTACAGAAGGTGAAACTGAGGTTCAGAGAGAGTGATGGGAAGAGCCACCAGTAATAGGGATGATTTCTTACTTACCTAATCCTTGCAGCCAAGACTGTTCTTCTAAAAGAGGGGCAGCTGCCTGGACTGTCTGTTTCTGTGGATCATTTTCATCTGTAGAATGAAGGGCTTTAACTAGATGATGCTGGCTCCTTCTAGTCACAAGTATGCTGGAGTCAGTTCATACTGGCTCAAGAAAGCCAATTGTTAAATTTTCAGTGTGAGTATTTAAACCGAAGAAATTGGCAAATGCTACCTATCAGGAGCTTGATTTGTTATTTTGTTGGTTGCCCAGACTTAAGAAAGTGATAGAAAAAATGTTAATCAGATTAAACTTAAAAGTGTGTCTCACATACATCCCCGCCCCCGCCAAGAGCCAATTGTTAAATGTTAACAGGTATTTATTTCTGAGAGCTGGTTGTTAAATATTAACCAATACCACCCTCCCTCTAGCCCATGATTGCATGCCCCACTCAGTAGAGCAAAGCCAACTTGCTTCCATGGGAACTGAACTATGACCTTGGCCTCTGCTCTAACTAAGCAGCTGAGTTAAGCATTCACACATCTTTAAGTGGAGAGAATGAATGGATCACCATCTCCTGCGGCTCATCTCTGTATCCCCCGTCCCCTGACAGCTCCTGAACTGTATCATGGATATGGTGGAGAAGACTCGGCGCTCTCTCACGGTGCTGCGCCGCTGCCAGGAGGCTGACCGGGAGGAGCTCAACCACTGGATCCGGCGCTATAGTGATGCCGAGGACATGAAGAAGGGCCCCATCTCTGCCCCATCCCGCCCACACAATAGCTCCTCCAACTCCGAGGGTCCCCAGTTAGGTAATGCTACTGCGCTGGACTCAGCTGGGTCTGGGAGGGGCAAGGGGACAGAGAGAGGATGGCCCAAGCTCCCCCAGGACTCTCAAAAGAGACTTACCCAAAGTCACCCCAAAATGAATGGAAAGACCTACACTAAGATCAGGAGCAAACATTGCCCTGAGGCCATCTTGGTTGCATTGGAAGCCAGTCTGGCCCAGGCCCTGGCATGTAGAGAATCCCATAGGGTTCTTTCTAGCTGGTCCTGTAGGACCCTTCCAGTTCTCCCGGAATCAAAATTCTATGATTTCATGATTCTAAATCATCCTGGTCTATCCAAGGGCCATGTTGATCTGGGCTAGTGCCTAAGCCAGAAAACTGCAAAGATAATGCTGATCAGTAGCGAGATTCTGTCATGGGCCAGCAATGCCCAGAGCCCAGCCCCAGAGGCACCTTCTTCAGCCAAAGCCTGAGCCTGACTCTGTCCAAGGGCAGAGACTGGGAGAAGCAGCCTGAGTGTCCTTCTTCCTTTCAGGCACCATGGTAATAGGGCCCAGTCACTAGGAATGGCAGCATCAGCTTTCTGAGGGGGAACCAGTGTGCCGCTGTAGGGCTTGAGATCTTATCACTTTTGATCTTCAGGGCTGATCCCTTTTCATTCTCATTTTTTAGAAAGTCACCGGGAGTTTGTACCCCGGCCTCTATCCGGTTATATGCCAGAAGAAATCTGGAGAAAAGCTGGTGAGTGTTAAAGGGGAACCCTTTTGCTATCCTAGATAGTAAGAGTAAAGAGCAAGTCAGGTCACACACACACACACACACACACACACACGCACGCACACACGCACGCACACTCACCATCTTGCCAGGATCACAACATATCACTTAAATAAAGCCACAAGCAATTCCTGTGGTGGATAGAACACTGGATTTGGACTAAGGGGCCCTGGGATTAAAGTGTAGCTCTCTTACTTACTATCTGCCTGGCTTTGGGTAAGTTATTTTTCCTCTCTTGGCCCCAATCTGCTCATCTTTAAAATTAGTGATTGGATTTTATTAAAATAAATCACAGCCGTTCCAAAAGGACTCATAGGTTTGAAATGTGATTTCTTCACAACTCTATGAAGTAGAGTCATTATTCTTATCCCCATTTTACAAATGGGGAAACTGAGGCTCTGAGAGTTGAAATGACTCGCTCGTCATTGTGTGACCACTCTAGGTGGGATTTAAAACCCATATCTTCTGATCCCAAGTCTACCATTTTTGCTGTGGTATACCATACTGTGCCTCTAAATTATCTCTAAGGTTCCGTCCCATTCTAAATCCTATAATGCTATTTTTTAAACACAAGACCCCCAGGCCTGGAGACTTCAGGTGTCATCATGCGGGATCTTCCCACCATTACCTACCCTCCCGTATATATGCGCCCCTCTTTGTTTTATAAGATCCCTGAGTTGAGCTCTGGCCCCTTAAAGAGGTTTTCACCTGGAAGGGGTCTTGGAAATCATCTACTTCCACTCTCTCGTTAGATAAATGAAGAAATTGACTCTGAATTGACTTGTTCAGTGTCATCTAGCAAGTTTAGATCCACACCTCTAGACTTGCAACTCTGGTCTCTTTCAACAGACCAAGCTTTTCATCTCCTAGGATGAGTTATCCTATTGAAAGATGTGGTTTTTTTTCCAAAGGGACTTTCTATTGTTGTCCCTTGAGATTTTCTGGGTCCCTGGAACCTGCTAATTTAGTCACAGTGCCACAGTGTGAGCCAGAGAGCATACAGATACCATGAAACAGCTGCCCCACTGGAATGCATGATGGGGCTTGTCCAGAAGCCTGGAACCACTCTGGGTTGGAGAGTAGGGTGTGACCGTGGGCTTGAAGGATCCCAGCCTCCACTTGGAAGCATTTCAGAGTGAATATGGCATTGGACCTGGGAGTAGGAAGACCTGAGTTCAAATCTCACCTCAGACACTTACTAACTGTACAGCTGTGAGCCAGTCACTTCACCTCTCTCTGCCTCAGTTTCTTCATTTGTAAAAGAGGATGAGAATAATAGCGTTTACCTCCAGGTTGTTGTGAGGATTAAAATGAGATAATATTTGTAAAGTGCTTAACCCACATACATACACACACACAGAGCTTTCAGATAAGTCTCAGTGTGCTTACCTATCTATACCTGCATGCATGTGTGCACATTCATGACTATGCATATACATGGGCATGGAAGACAGTGTGGTATAGTAGGAAGAGACTGGTTTTAGAGTCAGAGAAGAAGAATACCTAGCATTTCTATAGCACCTACTAAATGCTAGGCACTATGCCAAGGCACTTTACAACTGTTAACTCATTTGATCCTCACAACAACCCTGGGAGGTAGATGCTATTATTATCCCCGTTTTACAATTGAGGAAACTGAGGCAGACAGAGGTTATATGACTTGCCTAGAGTCACACAGCTAATAAATTTGAGCTGGCTGCTGGATTTGAACTCATATCTTCCTGTCTCCAGGACCAGCATTCTACCCACCACATTTCCCAGCTGTTCCAAGAAGACCTAGGTTCAAATTCTGCCTCTGATGCCCATTTCCTATGTGACCCTGGAGACATCCCTTCCTGGGCCTCAGTTTCTTCATCTGTCAAATGGCAGAGTTAGACTTAGTAGCCTCCAAGGTCGCACATGTTCACGCCCACAAACACGCACCTCAAGTCTGAGTTCACCTCCCCAGGCCCCCTGTGTGAGCCCCATGCGCGTGGCCAGCCCAGAATGCTGACTCAGCAGCCCTCCCCTCGCGCTGCCTTTCAGAGGAAGCTGTGAACGAGGTAAAGCGCCAGGCGATGTCCGAGCTGCAGAAGGCCGTGTCCGACGCAGAACGCAAAGCCCATGAAGTCATCACGACCGAGCGAGCGAAGATGGAGCGGGCCCTGGCCGAGGCCAAGCGGCAGGCCTCCGAGGACGCCCTGACTGTTGTCAATCAGCAGGAAGACTCCAGCGAGGTAGGGCCATGCTCATTTCCTTCTTATACCAAATCTGCCCCCTGCTCCCCCTGCCCTCGTAGGTCAGGGAGGACCACAGGACACACAACACCCACCTACAACCAAAGACCTGTTCCACAGCAGACACAGGGACGGGTGACAGGGATTCCTCTCGTCTTTCTTCTTTTGTTCTCCGACATCTTGGGGTTCTGGTCATGCCCTTCTTCCTCTTATTGCCTCAGTGTCCACAAGCACAGGGCTTGACAAGGTTAACAAATAGGTGTCCGTAGATATACTTTGTGGATTAATAGGAATTGTCTTCTTTCTTCTTTGTTAAAGAAGAAATGGGAGTAAAAGACTGACGTATCTGAAGAAGGGTTTCTCCCAATAGTGGACAGAGTTCCTGACTCTGCCCAGGGTGTCCCCCCCATCACTCTCTGAAGGACCTGGATTCAAATCTCACCTCTGATGCTTATGCCTTGTGGGCAAATCTCTTCATGACCCCCCCCCCCACCTCTTCCAGCGCTCAATCCCTTGATCGGTAAAATGTGTGGCTTGGACCATATGGTCCTGAGGTCCCTTCCTGTGAGGGTCATTTTGAATTTTCCTTGTGGAAACTCTCCTTTCCTTGGAGGATGGGCAGGGGGGAGCCCTTTAGAAACACAGTCTCCTCTGCCTAGACTGGTTAGATGTGGTCCTGAAGGCCTTGGGAGACTTGAGACAGCAATGGCTTCTCCAACTGAATGAGTCCATTCGCTAGGATCCCTCTGCTTCATTACTGCCCCCTCCTTACTCCTTGTGCCATGTTCCTCTCCCCATACTCCTTTGAGAAAACCCCCTTCCCTGAAGAGCACCAGTACGTACAGCCTATACCAGAGATGTCAAACCCCAATAGAAAAGGGCATCATTAATCCATACATAGGGGCAGCTAGGTGTCACAGTGGATAGAGTGCCCCACCTAGAGTCAGGAAGACCTGAATTCAAATCTAGCCCCAAACACTTACTAGCTGTGTGACCATGGACAAGTACTTAACTGTTTGCCTCAGTTTCCTCATCTGTAAAATGAGCTTGAGAAGGAAATGGCAAATCACGTTAATATCTTTGCCAAGAAAACTACAAATGGGGTCATGAAGAGTCAGACATGACTAAAAACAACTGAATAACAAAATCCACACACAAGGCTTCCTGTGGGCAGCATATTAGTTTTAAAATGTAATGTCATCTGTGTTTCATTGTATTTGACTTATTTTGTTATGTATTTTCCAATTACATTTTAATCTGGTTCTGGCCAGTCAGGAGTTTTGCACTCTACCTTTGGCCTAACACCATCCCCAGCCCCTGGGAAGTAGCTGGTAACCCCTTGAAATGATCCTGAAGGCCTTCCAATTAAGGCAGCTCAGGGGAAACTTTAGGGTAGCCCTAAGACACTCAGCCAGCTACTGAATCCTCCTCAGTGGCTCTATAATCTCTTCCCTCTTTATTACCCAGCCAGGTTGGGACAGTTATGCCTGGGACTTTGTAAAGCAACAATATGTGAAACCCACAGATGTTCTCAGGTTCCAGGTTTGGCCTTTCCCAGACTGTCACTGCAAGAGTAAGAAGGGAAATGCCTTGTACTGGTTCATAGATACAGGGTGCTAGAGCTTCAGAAGACCTTCATGGTCATGGAATCATAGATTTAGAAGTCATTTGATCTGATCACATGAGAAAACTGATAGAAAGAAGAAATTTGGCCTCAGGCCCCGTGAATCCAAGTTCAGTACATTTTCCAAGCTAATTATTAGAACTGGGAAGGCATTTAGAGATCATTTAGTTCCAAACCTTTCATTGTCCAGATGGGGAAACTTGAGACCCATGTGGGGCTTTGCACATTATAGCATATAATGCTTGTTGGAGTCCATTCACATCTCCTGACTGATTTGATTCAAAACCACCCTCACAAAACAGTTATCCTCATTTCACAGAGTAGGAAACTGAGGCCCAAAGAGTGTCTTCCCCAAGGCCAGCCAAATAGATCAGTCTGAGGGCACATTTCTTCAGTCCTGAGACTCCATATTGCCCGCCCTCTCCTCATGGTCTCTGAGCATCCTTAGAGGAGAGGAATGAGGGAGGTGCCTACTCGGACCTGGTAGGTCAGTCAAGGCTCCCCACACACACACACACCTGACACTGCCCTCTGTCCCCCCACCCCCAGAGCTGTTGGAACTGTGGGCGCAAAGCCAGCGAGACCTGCAGCGGCTGCAACACTGCCCGCTACTGCGGCTCCTTCTGCCAGCACAAGGACTGGGAGAAACACCACCACGTGTGTGGCCAGACGCTCCAGGGCCTCCAGGCAGCCGCGGGCTCCGCCCCAACCAATGGGGTGGGCCCCGCCCAGCCGGACGTAGTAGCCGTGGCTGTGGCCACCAGCCCCAGCGAGAGCAGCTCGGCAGCCGCCTCCCGCTCGGGCACCCCGGCCACCCCAGCCCCCCTGGAAACTGCCTCCCGCTAGCCCCATCCAGGGGGAGGAAGATACAACGGGATCCGAGAACCTACAAAAGTCACTGCTGCTAACTGCTTTTCTCCAAAAGAAAAAAAAAAATGCATTCAATGCAACTTCCTCAGCTACCTGACGATTTCATTCGACCTCCAAACGACCTCTATCTCTTCGAGTGATCCTCACAGATCTTCAAAACTGGGCTTTAAAAGTGGATTTCACAAAGAAAGTACAAACCTTCTTCTCCGTTAATCTGTCTTTCTCTGTCTTGTCAGTTTCCCTCTTGTCTCTTTCTCTCTTGTCTCTTTCTGTCTCCTCTCTTTCTCTCCTCTCTCTCTCTAGATCTCTCTTACACACTTTCTTGTTTAATTTTTTTTTTTAATAATTTGGTGGCTTATATTTTCAGTGAAGGATTTTGTTTGGGGAGGGTGGGTAGAGGGGAGCTTGTTCCTTGGTTTGGGCTTGCGTTGGTTTTTCCCCAAAAGAGCTACTCAGAAATGGACAAAGAAAACTGTGGGGTTTTCGTTTTTTGAGTGTGGTTTTTTTTTCAATGAAAAGGGAAAAAGAACTGTTCTTTTTATAGTTGGATATTCTGCCAAATTGCCCCCTGCGTGATGGGAGGGGCAGGTGCAGCAAAGACGGTAAGAAGGATTACAATTTCTGATGCAAGAAATGGTTTTTGGTTTTATTTTTGTTTTATTTTTTATTTTTTTAATGTCAAACTCTTTGGCTTTAAGTAAAATCCAAAAAAGATTTTTAAAAACAAAAGTAAAGGAAGCTTACTTGTAAACTACCTTGCTAGCTAGCCAAGAATACCAGATACACCTCTGCTCCAAAGGAAATCCAAAAAGCAAACTCTCACAAGAAAACCAATCCAGACTTCTTTTTTGTCACTGCCAAAGTATTTTTTTTTCTGTTTTATTACTCTTGGGTTTGTTTGATTTGGGGCTGGTTGGTTGGTTTTTGGTTCTTGGTTGGGGTTTTACATTTTTCAGAGGGGGAACAGCCCCAGATCTTTTTTTTTTTAATCAAACAAGGACACTCATTTGTCCCAACCGAACAATGGTGACTGCTCAGCTGGTGAGTCGTTGGCACCAGCAGTGAAGAATGAGGCCCCCAGCCCTATTTTACCCGCTCAGCTCTCAGGCTTTGGATCTCCCTCCCCACCCCCCACCTTTCTGCCAGACTATGGGATTTGCATCTGTGGCTTCAGAGTTTGGTTATTAAACAGGAGTAAAGTAAAAAGGAAAAAAAAAGCATCATCAGGATTGACCAAGCCAAGCCCAGGAAAAAATTTTAAAACCCAGTTTGTGTATGGACGTGTGTGCATGGGTGCATATATGTGTGAATGTGTGTGTGTATGTATGTATGTGTAAGGGGAAGATACCTCTATTTTCCCGCCCTCAATGGATTTTCAACGCATTTAATTTTTCTGATGATGAAAAAAAAAGTGCTAAAGTGTTCCTTTCCAGAGAGAGCATTGTTCTGAAAAAAAAAAAAAACTGTGACAATCTTTTGGATTGATTCTTGACTGCTTTTCAGAGCATGAGCAGATAGCAACTTATACCAATACTTTCTGCTTCTCCTTTTCCTCCTCTACCTCTCTTCTCTCCATTTCCCCCCCACCCCTTGTCACAGTATCTCCTTATTGCTGTTCTCCTCTCTTCCACACTTTTGCAGGAAAATACAACAAAACAAACAACAACAACAGAAAAAAAAAACAAACCCACCTTTGTATTCTGCCCCTCATCCTACCTTCTGAAGACTATTTTGATTGCCTGTATATAATCCCTTGCTTTTGTGTCCACTTGTCCCCCAGATGTTTTTTCCTCTGCTCCTTTGATGGCACATGATAGGTCTTTTCATTTGAACATTTTCCCTGTTACTGGCACCTTTTTGCCCCCTTCCCTTGCCCCCTCTGCCCCTTCCAACTCTCACAAGGATTCCTAGGAGGAAATGAAGGAGAAAGAAAATTAATACTTGTACTTAATGGAAGAAAAACAAAAGAGAGACAATGTAGACTATTTTGCATTTTCTTGTATCATTGTACAAAGTACAGAGGACGGGAGTGCAATATGGAGAGTGGCCCAGCTACTGAAATATGGGGGTTTCAAAAAGATTCCCAGCCAGGAGTCAAGAAGTCAATATTGTACGTTAATGTGAATGTATATAGTATTTGCAGAGGTCCAAATAATGATATTAATGATGATGATAATAAAGAAAAGATGTTTGCCAAATAAAAATAAGAGAAACCACTGAAGTATGTAAAGTTTAGGAAACAGGTTTTAAGAAAAAAAATCCGAAGTGTGGTCCTTGGGGAAATGATGGATTTTTTTGTTTTGTTTTGCTTTGTTTTTGTTTTGGTTTTTAATTGTTGTTATATATCCCAGAGTCACAAAAATCTGTTCTTTTTGTAATGAAAAGGGAGGAGTAAATTGAGTCACTGCCAACAGGGTCATTGTCCAAAGGAAATTCTGGCAGATGAAACTCGAGTCCAGAAAGCAAATTGGGTGTATTGGGTGGGATAAGGAACCTATTGATATCTTTATACACACACACACACACACACACACACACACACACACACACACACACACACACACACACACACCCCCACCCCTCTGCAGTGCAGGGCTCTGCTTGTCTGACCATTGAGTACATACATAGAGGCTTGAAGGTTCCATAGGTATCCCAAGAGCTAAGACTTCTTTAAAATTACAATAGCTCTGTAGGGAGATGCAGGGCTAAACTTATTCCCCAGTTTCCTCAGTTTTTGACTTCTGTTCTTCTCCCAAGCATTGAGTCTGTTGACTGTACCAGTATCAGATGTGTGTATGCTAAAGATCTCTCCCACTACCTCTCCCAGTTCATTTTCCCATGCATTCTCTTCCCTCATGACCCATGATTCCTTGTCGTCTTCCTTCCTTCCCCTGTAGCTGAGTCCTTTGAAACTCCTTGGTGTCCTGAAGCCTGTTTACTTTGGAAACAGATGTGTTTCCCTCTGGGCCACAGGGTTTGAAGGATGGGTTTTGGTGCCTTGGTTTAAGAAGATCGCTAGGCAGATAGGGATAAGGACATGACTGCCATTTTGCTGAGCTGGGCATCTTGATCTAAATGAAAACCTAACAGTATCTTCAGTCCTGATCTCCAAGGAACAAGTCAGTGAGACTGTGTGGTCAATTCAGGTGGATTAGGGCCTGCCTATCTTCTAACTCAAAAAGAGACAGAGAGAGCTCAGGCAGTGATTTTGGCTGGGGGAGTGTCCTTTGGAGAACAACATGGCTGGGTTCAGGACAGTATTCTCACTGACCCCAAGTCATTAGCTGTTAGGACTTGTAGAAAGAAGGCACTAGCAGCTTAAGGTGTCAGAGGCCCAACCTTGTAAGGTGGGATCATTAGATATTGGCCAATTCCCTATTCAACTTGAGTAGAAGCATTGTTTTCTCTTACTCTCAGGACGGCAGTTTGAGTTAAGTTTTTGGATCTTTTTTGGATAGTAGAGGAAACCCAACATCTAGAAAGGAAATGAGGGAACCTTCTCCCCTGAGCAGATTTGTTCCAGGGTAGGCCCTGTGGCACCCTCACTTACTAATGTGCCCAGATTGCATTTCCAGTGTAAAATCCACCTAATCATTTCCATTAGGTTACTTCCTCCTTGTGAAGCCCTAGAATCATGGAAAGTAGCAGCTTTCCAGCCAGAAGGCAGAGCATGTTTCCATGGTGCCAGGCCACTTATCCAGCCATCATTACTCTCTCCCTTTCGCCACCCTCCCCTCCACCCCAGCAAAGTTAAAAATATATATGTAGGTCGCCCCACAAACCACCCAGCAAATAAATGTGCTGTTGACCTTTGGGTGGATTCCTTGCCCCGTTTGCTGGTTCTGTTGCTGAATGCCCCTCCAGTAGCACAGGAAGAAAAATATTTGCCTTTTCTTGGCAAGTGACCATTAGAACATAGTTCCTTGGTTCTAGAAAAACATGGTATTGAGGTGAAAGGGTGACTGCTCAGGTTATTTGGACAAACAGAGCTGGCCTGATCCCAGTCCCTGATCTCTGTTTTGAGGACTTTTTCCTAAAGAATGGTTGAGCTATCTAACATGAGATCCCTCAGGTTGATTACCCAAGAGGGTGCATTGAGGAAGGGCTGGCCCCCTGGGGAAGGCTTTGGTTGATTCCAAGTGGAAGACTGGGTGTCTTCATTCTAACGGGGGTCACGTTGTTGGAAGGCTACTGGTATCTTCTTTAGATGATTAGGAATTAATCCTCAGAGATACAGTTTGCCACTCACCACCCTCGTCCCAAGCTAGCTCAGCCAAAGACCTTCTAGTGGAACCAAACCTGAAATCCCGACATTTTGTGGGGATAGGAGGTGGCAAAGAGGGGATGTTGATAATTTTGCTTTCTGAATTGCCAGTGACAGTGTGTTTTCAGAGGTTCTTTTGGAGATTTAGAGAGAAATTGAGCAATGTTAGAATGCAGTATAACCATTGTAATTGATACATCCTCTAATCTTCGTACTGGTCATCAGCCATTTTTACTTCATGAAAAAGACAATATGTCAAGAAGCATTTCTGATATGATCCACTGAAGGGGCCTGTCAGTCCTGAGTGCTGCTGGGTTGACTTTCTAAGCGTTCTCTTCTGTCTGACCCCTGGCCTTCCTATGCCTCTCTGTCTCTGCCTCTGCCTCCTTGCTCCTGCTCAGAAGCTGTATCCTACCTTGCTACCTCCAATGTGCTTAAGGACCATAGACTAAGAGGTGTGGTTTGCTCCCTTGTTTTTTCTTTAAAGCCACTAGTCAAGATCACACTCGCCATTGAACCAAAAGCTCTGTGAGTGGCTACCGCTCCCAGAGCCCCTAGCAGAATCCCAAACTCAAAAGACAGCTTTAACTAGCATTCAGAGGCCAAAGCCAAAGGCAGGAGACAGTGGTCAGGCAGGACCTCAGAGGACAGACAGCTAGGCATGGTGATAGGAGAGGGTTCCTCTCCCCTAGATCATTCAGAACGAGAACACTGTCAATTTCCAAGGTGCAGATAAATCACCGGATGGAGGCTAATTCTATTTCTGTATTCCCCACCTTTGCTCGGGATCCATGACAGCTTGACCTAAGTCTCCTCACTCCTACCCACAGAGCTTCAGAATTTCCCTTCCCTCACCATCCCCCAAGCCACGGTTTCTCAAGGTTGGAATAGGTGTTCTTTCTCTTTTCATTGCTACCAGGGACCTCAGTGGTAGGGCTATCTCTGATGTCTTCAATTTGCTCAGTTTGTAGGATTCACGATTACTAGGTCATACATCCCAAGGCATGCTGCCT